TCAGTGATATTTTCATTATTTTAAGTGTTTTTTCAAACATTTATTCCAATCATAACACTGTTCATCTCCTTTTTACTTTACATTGAATGTTTTTTTTCAGGAATTTTATAGGTAAAGTTTTGCTCATATTGTTTTTCATTTTTCATTTTTTCAACAATTTTTATTTCAATCCATGACTATGTTTTTATTATAATTTGGTCTCTAACTGCTAAGGTGAGAGAGGAAGGAGAAAAGAGAGATCTCTATATATGAATGTTTTAATGAATTTTTATAATATTGTTATTTTCTCTTTTAAAAAAATTGATATAATTTATATGATGATTTTTTTTAGTTATTTAAATGATAGTAGCATGGTTATATAAATAATCTAAAGAGTAAAAGCGTTTTTTGGATAATTTTTCTCTGATTTTTTTGAAAAAAATTATAAGAAAAGTTTCTAATTAATAATCCATGGATTTTTGAATTTTCTTACAAGTTTTTAGTTAAGAATCTGGATATAGAAGAATAAATTGTGTTCTTTTTAACAAAAAATTTATAAAAAAAAACATAATGAATAACTAGTTAAATACATAATTAAAAAAATAATAGTTTTGTTTTTATATTCAATTTGATATATTTTAGTAAAACCACAATATAATATATATTATGAAACTAAAATTATTTTTTAAAATAACTTTATATGTTTTCTTCGATTGGTAACATAGCACACATGAAAAACTAGAATGTACGGATCAGGACTGTGGTGTTTTCTCGCAAATACAGGCCACTGAGGGTAACTCTTCAATTGACCTGGTTATTAAGTTCATAATCCTTGGATATGCTAATCACCAATCATGTAAACTGAGCAATTTATGAGTGACCTGTCATCTGAACTGAAATTTGAGAACCCAAACCCTTTCCCTTCTATTTCTCTCCGAATAATTTTTTTATTGATAATTTTTAAAAAATAACAAATTAGATCTTACAAACTCTAAATAATATCCAACATAGCAACCATACTTTTTAATTCATTTTCTATAAAATTATACTTTTCTCTAATATTTCAAAATTTTGATTAATTTTTTTATTCATGTAAAAATCATTTCATAAAATAAGAATACACATGAAAACAAAATTTATCATTACAGAAACAACACATTATCCATACACTTTTCAATCCACATTTTTATTATTTTTATGATAATGTTAATCTAATGCTTGCATTATTAAACAAAAAATTCGAGTTGACTGTTTATATTCCAACCTCAATGCAAACATCATAAATAACCTATTTTTAATAATTAACCAATTAGTTTCTTCCAATATCTTGGAATTCCATATTTTTTTTAGAAATTGATCTAGTGGGTGCCAATTGAAAAAAACTCACTTCTAATTTGCTAATTATGACACTCATTAGCAGTTATCACGGTTTTTTGTCTTCGATTGAGTATCACAATATTTTCATGCAAATCATAGGAGTGTTAGGTAGATTAATATTTTCATGCAAATCATACAATTGCTGCGTAGATTAGTTAATGTTTATGTGGCATGCATTTTAGTGCGGGCTTGATATTGAGGGTAGGCTCTAACTATGATTGTAGAAAACATTGTTTAGTAAAATATGCGGTTGAAAATATGTGTGCATTAATATATCTAAAAGTAAAATTATAGGGCAAAAAAAATATGTAATAAACTGTGTGGTAGAAAATATATTTGCATTAGTATATCCAAAATTATAAGGTAAATGGTGTAAAGAAAGCCACCTAAATGGAGCTTTTTAGCTTTCTGCTTTTGTTGCATGGAACCCACATAAACTCCACAAAAAAAAAATACGGGATTAACCAAGCGGGGTAAGGTATTCGGAGCTCAAAAGCCTTAAAAGCCCACCGCACCCCTCCCCTAAACGGACCCTTAAATTGGATAGCCTTAAATTGAAATTGTTGGTCCACTCTTTGCTTCAAGAATTTACTTCATATGCAATATTTCCATAAATGGTTCCTCACAAAAGATCACATAATAGTAGCAATCTGAACTTTCATTGAATAATTTTTTATATCAATCAAATTCTTTTATTATATTTCTAAAAAGCTCATTTAGTTACCCCTAGTTAGATACTCGTATTACGCTGCGATCGGATAACCATTATATATATATATAGTCAATAATTTATATGGTGTAGTGCTCGATAAAAATCTTATTTCTCGTAATTAATGTAAATCAAATTTAGTTGTTGACCAAAATTGTTTGATATATTTATATTTATTAAAAAAAATAATCAATAATATTAGCATAAAAGGTTATATTTGAATAATTGAAAGATTCTTTCAAAATATTATTTTAATTATTTTATTTAAAAATATTAATTCTAGAACATAAAAACAAGAATAAATAACAAATAATTAATGTTATGTGTATAGGTACATAATTAATTTTCAATAAAACTAATATATATATATATATATATATATATATATATATATATATATATATATCATACTTAGTAAATTCAAAATATATGACATACCCAATTTTTTTTAAAAAAACAAAACCATATAAGTTGTATGTAATATATTAAAGTCAATAAATTTAAATAAAAACTATTATAAAATTGGTTCTCATAAATTTTACTTCATAATTTATAATAAAAGAGATTCTTGAATTGCAAATTAAATTATAAATTAGTTCTTCTCGTTTTGAAAAAAGAATGAATTAATTCTTTTGGTTTGAAAAATAAATTATTTAATTTTTAAAAGATGTTTTTGGCCTTTTTGCTATTTCAATGTTTTTATTTTTTGTTTTAAGAAATAGAAAAAGAATAAAATAAATATGAAAAAAAAATTATAAAATAAAAAAATAAATTATCGATGGTCAACATTGATTAAAAAAATTAAATAATTTATTTTTCAAACCAAAAGAAGGAACAAAAAAATTAATTTGATGAGAATTTTGATAATAAACAACAAATTTAAGAGATTAATTTTAATCAATAAAAAAATATAATCAAATATATGTGTTTGTTATGAAAGTTAAAAATATAAGAGGCCAAAAATATCCGTTAAAAATATGAACAAAAAATATATTTTAAAAAAAATATGAGATAAAAATGGATTAAATTAAAAACATGATATGCCAAAATATTTTAAAAAATATGAAGATTTAAAAATGTATTTTTAAAACATAAGGTATAAAAAATGAATGAAGCGTAAAATTTGAAATTGAATATCCAAAAAACTATAAAAAATTATGAAAATACCATTCTAGAGGATTACAAAATTACCACTAATGAATAGTGAACCGAGGCCAATGAATTTGTCCCGGTTCCTTTAGTTTTTTAGGTAATTATTATTATTATTATTATTTTATTATGGAACTATCGGATTCTATGGAACATAATTAAAAATTGCTTTTGAAACCATAACTCGTTATCCAAAAGACCTATGGATGACTCAACCTATGTACTGTTCACTTACGGTTGACAAACCCAAATTCTTTTAGTTTCTTTAGAATAACATATACAAGGTTTGATTAAACTTAAATTTTGGGAAACAAAAAATATATAAATTCTAATTATAATTGTTGTTTTGACTTAAACCAATTGATGTTCATGTTATAAGTTATAATCATGCTTTATTAACTCCGTAAGGTCATGGAAAAAATATATATAATTCTAAATCAACTCTCATCAGAAGTTCTTTAAATTTATTTAAAATTTATGATAGTGTGGAGGTAAACTGCGCGGCATTTTCATCGTTATTGTTTTCCAACTAATCACTTTACTAGTAAAATTATGAAATCACGCAATACAATTTTGTAACATTTCTTTCAAAAGCAACTAAGAAATTAAGAAATTAAATTGAAGATGCAATTCAGAATATAATATATTACAGTTATACGTTTTAAAACTATTTTGTTTTTATTTTATTTGCTTTCCTTTCAAATTCATTTCATTCAATAAATTGCAAAGAAATATTAACGAGCAAACCTCAAAAATACTAGCCAACTATCAGATAGACTTGATGTCATTGCCGGATAATTTTTTGTATCAATTTTACCATGAAATTTCTAGAAATTCTTCATTCATTTTTAAGGCTTTCTTTTCATATTTTCACACAAACCGTACTATTTTTTTTATAAGGAACAATATGGTCGTTTTCTAAAAAACTTAACGTTTTTTAAATGATTTTGAGAAAAGTCTTTGATTGAAAAATCAATTTAATTTATTGGTAAAATTGATAATAAATTAGTTAGAATGCAAAATTAATAATACCCATATAGCTTGGTTGTATATTTGACATTTGCCCAATGTTAACGGTGAATAAGTGTATTTGGATATGTATAATATTTAATGCATCTCAAGCTAATAAGGAAATAATTCAATTTTTAATTCTTCTGCAAACTTTAGGATTCATGCATTGGGTGAATAAGATTTGAATTAAACATCTTGATTTTACTAGCATCAAATTTGATGCAATAAGAACAATAAGAATAAAGATAATTATATCAATCCGGACAAGATTACCATACAAAATATTATGAAAAACCCTTCTCATTTCGAGACTCTGTATTTGCATCAAATTAGCAAATTAAATTATGCATAAATAACTTGGTAAATTAGATGGTGTTTTTTAAAATTTAAGTAATTTAAGCTTATTGAGATGGAAAATATTAGCCACGCGACACATAATTTTGATCTAAATGCTTAGCTACAATTAGAATAAGAAAAAAAAACATTCTAAAAATTTTGAAAAGTAAAGTAAATAAACCTAACGTAGGACTCGAGAGAAAGCCATGCGACTGTTTTATAAAATCAGATTTAAGGTTTCTTCTCTTTGTGTTTTTATTTCCAAATCTGTGCCCCATCAAGGGGTTAAATTTCGGCCAAAATAACCAATGATAACATGCCTTCAAACTGAAAACCAATATAAGAGACAAGATGCGACCTGGAAAAAAAAATTGCCATTGTGACAAAAGATATTTCTACTCATTGACTACAAATCCATGGCTTGTAAAGAAAGAAAGAATCAGTCTTTGCCAAAATCAGCATTATAGTGTGAGCTGGACTCAAGTTTCTTTGCTTCATTAAGCTTTCGCACAGCCTGCAAGAAATTTCCACCCAACATATAACTGAGCAAATAAATTGGACAAAAACATACAAATGAACCCATTTTCTAAATACGAAAAAATTTACCTTCATAAAATCTTCATGGATGACATAATCACGTTCTGCACGGATTGCTGACATTCCAGCTTCAGTGCAAACATTACGAAGATCAGCCCCATTAAAACCCTGAGATAATTGCAACAATCATTTAAATGAACAATAAATGCACAAAACAACCAAAGTCACCACCAATAACTCACCTCTGCAAGTTTCACAACAGCCTCATAATCAATATCCCCGTGCTTGGCAATGCCAGCAGCATGAATCTTAAGGATTTCCATTCTTGACAGCTCATTTGGCAATGGAATCTCTATCTTTCTGTCCAATCTTCCTGGACGAAGAAGCGCAGGGTCAAGAACATCAGGGCGGTTTGTCGCCATTATCATCTTAACCTACAACACGCAATAGAATCCTCATGTTAAGCATCTTCATGTGTATATAGATAACTAGTACATGAAAGTGAATAGTAAGAGATGCAGCAATAACACATGCAACTTCAATAGATAACAGCTAAAGCTTGCATTTACCAGATATTTATTTAAAACCATAAAATATCAGATATTATATTTTCCCAAGGCACAAAAAATATCAATTGGACATTAGAGCAATTATTAAGAGAGGATTTTGAATGGCCTTAGTTACATGCAAACACAATGTTGACATCCACTCACTCACTCAACAATAACAAGCTAATAACAGGAGTTTACTAAACCAGACAGGATACAGAAGAAACTGCACAACGTAGAAGATCCCAAGTAAACCTACTATATGTATCTGAAAATCATGACAAACAGAAAACCCCCACCCATCTTTCCACAAAAGAGCCTCCCAAAGGAATGTTTTTGTTTAGTAAATCACAAAGTTGAATCAGATTATAAACCAAATTTACCTTCCCAAGCTGATCAAATCCATCAAGTTGATTAAGCAACTCCATCAATGTTCTTTGAATTTCACGATCAGCACTTGTTCCCTCACTAAAACGGCGTCCACCAATTGCATCGATCTCATCCATGAAAATGATGCAGGGCTTGAGAGACAAAAGCAATTAGTATATTTAGTGTGGGTATAAATTAGTAAGAATAGAACAAATTCATGGAACTAAGATTCTTACTTGATGATCACGTGCATATCCAAACATTTCTCGTATCAACCTAGCACTTTCCCCTATGTATTTGTCGATAATGGCACTCGAAACAACCTTAATCCAATTTAAAGTACAGCATGTTAACCACAGGGAGCCAAATCCACGCAATAGAACATAAAAAAAGACAAAAAAAAAAAAAAAGGCTAGATAGATGAAACAGGATCTGACCTTTAAAAAGTTGGCATCTATGTTGCTCGCAATAGCCCTAGCCAATAATGTCTTCCCAGTACCGGGAGGTCCATAAAGAAGGACACCCTGAAAGAAAGTTAATAAGAATTTAAGACGAAACATAATCTAACTTCATTATTATGGCATATAAATTACTGCTGATACTTCATTAACAGCATCCCAACTTCACTACTTACAGCAGCAAGGGAAAAGAAGGGCAAAGAATAAAGCGATCAGCATCATCACCTTTGGAGGTTTAATCCCTACTCTAAGGAAAAGCTCAGGGTTCATCAAAGGTAGCTCAATAGATTCCCTCAATTCTCTGATCTGATCGGATAAACCACCTACAGCTGAGTAACTCACATTACCAGGATCTTCGTGCAGCATGTTATAAACAACTGGATCTACCTGTTACCCCAAAACACACACAAAATCGGAACACAGTCACAACACCACAAATTCTGGCAATACAATGTGTTATAAAGAATCACAATGACTTACTTCGCGAGGAAGAGCACGCATAATAGTAAGTGTTGTCATATCAAGAACCACTCTAGTTCCTGAAGTCAGTTTTTCCTTATCCACTTTACTACGGCAGCCTACCACATATCTAGGCCCGCTGCTAGCTTTGACAATCACTTAAAAAAAAAAAAAAAAAACAAAGCTCTATCATTATCGAGCACGCAATGCTACCAAATATACACACACCAAGAACAGCAGATTGAGGAAGAAAAAATACAGCGTTCGTTATCAAGAGGTCGGAGAACTTCTCCTATAATTTGCCCAACACTTTGAAGAGACTTCAAATCATCTTCTGTTTTGTTAAATTCTTTTTTTGCAGCTTTCAAATTCTCCTTCGCTGCATCAACATAATCCAGAATCAGCATCGGCACAATTTACCCATACTATTATGACACATGATTATCAACTAAATCCACAAAAAAAATCAATTTTTAATCTACAAGCAAATTGGATTGAATCAAGACAAAAAAATCCAAATTTTTTTTAGTTATTAATACAAGAGGAGATAATAAAAAATATATATAAATAGGAGAAAAGACCAATTAAGAAATCAGATTAGATCTTCGATTAAGTAATTAAAGAACTGATTTAAAAGTAAAGTAATTAAAGAGTGAGCGAGTGACCAGATCGAACTCTGGATTCGAGCTCTTTGTGGTGGAGCAACTTCTTGCGATACTCTGCCTCCGCATTACGACGCCGTGCTACGTCTTCTCCGTCGTTGCTTATCGTTGCCATTTTTATTTTTATTTTTTCTCGTTATGGACCGGACAGATTAACGTTCTCTTTATCGAGGAAGAGAACCACCGTAGCTGACTTGAAGCTCGGGTCACGTATCGTTTAACTTAATTTTCCGCATCCTTGCCAAACGACGTCGTTGCAAGCGGTTCGACTTGTCAGGTGGGCAGGGCTGGAGTCACGGACGACCCAGCCCAAATTAATTGTGGCAAGTTCTTTTTGTTTCTTCATTTTTTTTCCCAAGCAAATTAAGAAAGGGTAAAAGTAATTTGTCTAAAAAAATAAATTAAAAGATAAAAACAGAGAGAGAATGGTTCGATTTGCATCATTTAAACACATTTTAATGTCTATGGAAATTAAATTTTGAATATATGCGAATTATTATACAGGGAAAACCAAAAACATTAGATCTGTGGAGAAAAGGTCACAACAGATTATGAATTGGCCTTCCTCAACACTTCTTTTAGTACCAAAGAGATTCTATGTGACATATGGCGTTCCAAGAATGTGTCTTTCACCCTCTCATATCCCTTCTTTCCCATCGTCAGTCTTCTTTCTACATGTGTGGCTAACTTCACAATGTTATTTGCAAGAGGAGTCACGCCTTCTTTCCCAACAGGATGCAACAAGCCTGTCGTGCCGCTCACAACGATCTCCATAGTGCCTCCAGCTGCAGTGCCCTGCAAATTTGTCGATTCAGAAGACAACGGTGTCAACACGAGTAAGAAAATTAGCACATAGATCGAATCAAAATACAGGAAAAGGAACAAAAATTAGTTGGTTTGAAGCCGGGTATTTGCCTAGACCGAAAGGCTTACCAACACAGGCAGCTGAAAGGCCATTGCTTCAATGGTTATTCTCCCAAAGCACTCTCCTCGAGCCTACATGAATAACAACTTTAAATTTCAACAACGAAGCAAACATATAGAAAAAATTGATTTATGAATTCAACAAAATGCGAAAGCTGATCAAAACAGCATGCAAAATGAAAGAAAATCAATATAGGGGACAGACGTTTGAGGTATGGAGACTAGAGAAAATCCTACACAATGCAAAGCTAAGCATTTATCACTTCAACCAAAAGAACCAAGACATCAATGGCTGAACATTAACAACTTTTAGATTATCGATTTCATCTTTTTTTTCCTTTACTACCAAATTTTACTTTCATATGACAAATTGCACGTACTATCAGATAAAAGGGTGTAGACTGCAGAGCTATAGCGAAGGTAGCATGCTCAAAGGAGAACCAAATGAATCTACTTTCTAAGCGGAGATTTTAGCAATTAAAAATGGCCCCCTATCAAAAGTCTTTCCAGTTTAAAAGTTTCTGGGAGTCCCCTATAATGCTTACAAGTTGATAGCCCCTGATTTTCTTTGTATTTTTTCTTCAAGAGGACATAACAAGAACAAAATCATTGATAAACACACAATGTTGCTTCCACAATGAATGCAAAAGTAAAATTTGCAGAACAAACCTGAGAGTTCTGCACAAGAACATCAACAGCGGCCAAATAAGGAGCAACAGTTAAGGTTTTATTTACAAAGTGAACACGGTCTTGAATCTTTTTCTCCAGAACAAAATTACGCAGCTCTGTTTCAAACTTTGTTTGAGCATTCATGTCACTTCCTACAATTACTGCATGCAGTGATGGCACCTGCAGCTTCTTCTCTTGGATCAGTTGTAGACTCTCATAGAAAGAACGAAGAAAGAGATCCTGACCTTTCCCACGCGAAACACCTGCAACAACAAGGTGATTTATGGTCATTAAACATAAATTTTTGAGAATATTTGCTAAAATTGATAGTGGAAATTGAAAACTTGAATAGGAGCTCTCTCTTTCATTGGCTAATAGTAGAACGGTATAGGTCAAGTTAATCATTCCATCAGCAGGGAGAACATACTATTTATGATGGCAAAGAGTAGATCATCATCCCTCACCCCAAGAGACTCTCGAACATGCTCACGAAGAACCCTCTTGGCCACACTATCTTCAGCCACTTCCATAAGGTCCTTGCTATTTCCAAGGTGAACAACATATGTTTCAGGCATTTTAATCCTAAAATCAAGAGAAGGCAAACAAAGGGTTCAGATCTCAAAAAACACAGAGCAAAGTAAAATTCAAATAGACCCCAATGTGGACCAAAATACACTCTACTGAAATGCAGAAACCATGACATATATAGTAAGACAGTAGACTTACAAAAGTAAGAAGCATACCCTAACCGCTCTCGAGTCCTGTTCTTCCAGTATTCTGCTGTCGTATGCGAATCAATCATAGCACCTGCAACAAAAGGGAGGTGCTTCACATACTCTAATTTGAAATAATGCCCTCGCATTTCATGAATCCACCAGAGAACCTTTGGAAGAACTTGCTTCACATTCTCCTTCAAAACAGCATCCAGCCATTTTCCAGCAACAGCAGTATTTAAAACAACCAAGTCAGCTTTAACCGCTGTATCTATCGCTTTCTGAACTTTTGCAGAAAAAACCTAAAAAACATACACCATTTTCTAAATTTTTAATGATTTAATTTACAGCTTCAAGAAGATAACTAATTACAAAGCTCAACGCATTAACAAAAGACAAATTAAAAAAAAAATTACCTGCACTCCGCGGTCCAACATTTTATGCTCTAAACTGTAAATAACTTCATCAGTTTCGGCCGGTTTCTGATTAGTTATCCAAACAACTTCGGCTCCAACTCCTCTTAATAAAAATGCCAGCTCCATCAGCAACAAAGGTCCACCTTCACATTTTTTTTTTACAAAAAAAATCACCACTCAATACATTTTTTTCTCTATAAATAAACGAAAACGAAAAGAAAACGCAAAATTGAGTACCAGAAAGAGAGAGCTCGTGAGAGACAAGAAGAACGAGCTTTGATTTCATGAAACCAAGTGGATTTGGTCGTGAACTTGGTGTTGATTGAATCTGAGCTCCGAAATGGTCAGTAGAGTGACAGGACTTGAAAGCGGATCTCGTAAAGAAGAAGGTAAGTGTTGAGAGAGTGAACAGGGCGAGAATCATCAATGGCCATCTCTTCTTCTGCACTGTATTCCACGCGCTTGTTTGTTTTCCCATTTTACTACTTCTTCGCTGTTTTGCGGATTTTAATTCTCGCTTTATAGAATTTCTGATTCAATGCAGTTTTTGAATCGGACTCTACCCGGATCAAATCGGGAATCTAAATCTATGTTATGCGTCGTCGGGATGATTCACCGGCTTGTTTAAAATCAGACTCTGAGTTTGACATGTCGTTTGTTCCCAGACGACATTGAGACTGGGCCCTTATTTAAATTTTTATTTGAGTTCCTCTATTTTAATTTTTCTTTGTTTGAATTCTTATGTTCTCTGATTATTTCTTTTGATTATTAATTTGGCAATACTTTTAGAAGGGAATTTTTGAAAAAATGTATTTTTATAAATAACTAATGTGCTTAACGGATCTATTAAAATATACAGAAACTCAAATAGAAGAAAATAAAAAACTTAAATACTCTTATTTTTAAGACTTGAGTAAATGACGTGTAGGTTAGGGACAAGATGATTAACATTTCCAGCGTTTTTCTTGAACTAATTAAAGTATTAATTTATTTTTTAAAAAATATTAATTTGTTATGCACCTATGCTCTTTTGTTACGATTATTTTGTCTGCTTTGGATTCAATTAACTAGTCAATCAATTTGTTTGTAATTTAATTTGCATGTTTTTCTTTTCAAAGAAATTAATATTTGAATTGAAAAAAAAATCGAATTTTTGTTTGGGGTCCTCTTTGAATTAAAAAAAAAAAATCAATGTAATGACAAAAAAAGAAAAGAAAACTAATTTCTATTTCGAAAGGAAAAAGTAGCATGCATTTAATCAAAAAGTTAAAACAGAAAGAAATAGCATCTATTCCAACACTTCAATTCATAAAAGATACCAGATTCCACCATTATGGAAGCTTAATAAAATACATTATGTTCGTAACCAGGTTACATAATTACTACTCTTTTTTTTTTTTTAATTAACCCGGTGACAATTCTTCCTAACTTCGCCATTGAAACCTGTAAGAGGACTAATGCCTCCCATCTTAACCATAGACTTGGCAAAATGCTCGAAGAACAGGCCCTCGTCCTCAGCATATCTCTTAACCAACTGAATAGTCTTGCCAACTTTTCCTGTATAAAGCACTTCATCAGAAGTGAGAAGCCCTTTGCCCCAAATTAAGAGCTTGAAGTAAGTGTTGTCAAATTTTGCTGGAGAGGCTGAGTCCAAAGGAGAAATGTTATTGTCTCCACCTGATCTTGGACACACTGACTTCAAATCTAAGAAAAAGTTTTTCTGTAGAGTCTGGTCTGGCAGGTTGTTTCCATTTTGGTTGTATAGCCTCTGCTTGAACGTCCCACACCTAGCCATCCCAATTGTATGCCCTCCTGAAACATGACATTTCTGAATTTAATCAAAAGATTCAGAACAAATATTAATGTTTATGTGTCTGTGTTCTAACCTGAGAGAGCAACAAGGTCAACCTCATTAAGACCTTGACGCTTGAACTTTGTTATGAGGTTTTGGATAGTAGAGTTGGGTGCAGGAATGTTGTTGTTTGAGCCACTCAGACTCGCAGTCTTCGAGTCCCTTCTTCCTAATGGGAGTTCCCAGTTCGGTCCACCGCTCTGTATCAAAACACCACACGATGTTTGTTAGCAACAAAATGGGTTAATAAGCCAAGGAAAGCTAGACAATTGGGGATTTTGCTTACTAGAACAGATGAGCCACGAGCTGCCAAGGCGAGAATGTCAGCGCAGGAGACAGTTTGAGGGCATGCTTCTTCCAATTTAGCCTTGATTTCATCAACCACTTCAAATCCTCTGATGGAATTCTTGTTTGGTCCTGAATTCTTCTCACTCACTATCGTTGCACTATCATCCAGCAACAACGATGCATCACATCCCTGCAAGATCAGTCACATGACAATTTAATCAAGCAAAACTATGGTTTTAAGTTGGTACAAGGCTGATATGATGTTTTCAAAGAAAAGATAACAAATTATGTGTAAAACAAAGATAAAATATAGTGTAGAAGAAGGAGAAAAAACAAGACGAAGTGTAGAACCTGCACAAAGCAATCATGAAAATGAAGCCTTAGCAAAGAGGCAGCCATCCTGGAGTCCTTCGCAATAGCTTTTTGTAAAACTGACGTGACAATGTCATTAGCTTGAGGGCATGAAAACTGATAAAACTCAGGGAACAGACCAAACGAACCACCGCCAAAAGGACCACCCCAGCCAACACCAGGATGAGCAAGGGACGTTGTCGATGAGAGGAGAACAATCGTGACCATGAAACTAAAATTCACTTTAGCGAAAGCCATGGAAAAGAAGAATTAATAAAGTCAAGTGTAGACTGTTGATGGATCCTCTGTTTGCCATATCTGCTACTTATATGTGCAACTCAACTGCATCCCTTACCAAATCCTTCTATACCACCTACTATGGATTGCTACGACCATGTCTTTCTTGTTTGTATTCCTCTTTCGGCATCGAAAATGGATAGTACCTACAAGTGTTTGTTGATGGATTTGGTCAAGTGTTTCCGGTAGCACCTGCTCCAAGGCAAGACCTTGGAGTATTTCTGTAGATCTGCCTCTCAACTTTACGGTTTCCCCATGTCATGACCTTAACTTGACACTACTCACAATAATCATGCATAGATTTGTTTTTTGTTTTCCCTCCCGCTAACCGACTTATTAAAGAAATCATAACATGACCCAGAAGATCTAGACTCTAACTTGGTTCAATATTTGTATTAGAACAAGCTTGTTAAACAATAATCGAGCCGAGAGAAGGAAGAAAGTTTCAGCTGTGTTTTTTACTTCCGGCTATTATGTTCAAATAGCCATGGGCCTCATGGCTAAGCCCCTGGCCCTCGGGTTTCAGAAATACCATTATGTGACACCTCCAGGGTTCTCATCAAATATCACTAAGACGACCAGTTAAAAAATTGGTCTTAGCAGATTAGCTTGGGCTTTATAGAACTACAACGTTTTTACTTCTTCCAGGCGCAGTAGTTACCCTTCGTAGCATTTCTAATCTTTTCTCATGGAATGTCTAACACGATCCCATAGCACGCTTACCCTATATTTTAGGAGGCGGATTTCCATTTAGGACTTGGAATACTTCCAATAAGGCAGCAACCAAACATGGCTTACGTGCAAATTGACTAGGTCCACTCAGCTATCTAAACAAAGCACATGCGTGTCTTGGGATCTTGAACTCGTAACACAAGGAAGCACACTGCTTGATTCGATCATCCCGGCTATAAAAGTACCTGTTCTTGCCGACCACAAATCATAAAAACCTTGACAATTTAAGTTGCCAACGAGGAGAATTCTTCCTCGTACGTCACTGCTGCTTGACGACAGGTCAGCTCAAATTACATAAGCTGCTACTTCAGCAATGATAATGGTTAAATGCTCATGCCGAAACAGAAAACAAATCCTTTTTTGAATTTGTTACACTTTGGAGGATATTGAAACTTTAGTAATAGTATCATATGCTAGAAGCCTTCATTAACCGGATGGACTAGAAATTAAAAGCTATCTGAGACAACTGGTGATCTATCTCCCATAGAAACTAAAAAGAAATGATTGCCAGTTAGATGATACATATGTACATGGTAATGAATGGTATGGATAACACTTGCAGTTCTCCCAAAATCATCCAACAAGGCTAAAGAGTTATGATTTACACAACTGTCTCATAGGAGCTAGCAACCTTGCAAAACGAAGGGGGACATGAGCCTTGATCAATGTCCCACTTTCTGTATATTCCTAATCAGGAGAAAGGAACAAAAAATTAACGAGAAAATAAAACTGCTAAGAGGATCGGTTCTCAATAGAAGAAAATGAAAACAATCTAGAAAATACTCACAGTTCTCTCTACCATTCCAACTTGATGTATGGTACTGAGAAGCTCCCCTTTGTCAAACGGAACCAAAGCTTCCACCCATACCATAGAATCCTACAACAAAAGAAAATTGTTGAGGTTTTCAAGTGCAACTGAAACTCCAGTGCAGGTAGCAAGAATAAACAGAACTATCTGTTTTCAAACAACACCAGAATATTTTCGCCAACTCAATACCTTCAATTTTTCCTGAACTGCATTGCAGAATTGTTGTAACCCATCGCCATTCAAAGCAGACACAAAAACAACATCTTGTTTTCTCTCTGCTTCCAACTTTAGTTTTTTCGGATCACTGACCCTGTCAACCTGCCATAAGCAGCAGCGGCTATGGTGTTATCAATACAGAGTTAACATTGCAAGAACCAAAAGTTTTAGATTTGTTTCAAGTGGAAAATCATTGCAAAAGAGTCTACAGGGAAAAAGAACATTACATCAATACTGTGAAGATTCATAGATTTAGAAAGGAACAAGTTTCTAGTGAATCTATTCTGGATCAACATTAATATCTTAAAATACCTTGTTCCAAACCGTCAGCCTTGGAATTGATGATACATCCAGTTCCGACAAAACTTTGTCCACTGCATCCATCTGTTGCTCCGCCAGTGGATGACTGAACTTGATAGTTGTAACTTGTATGGTATAAGATAGTGGTAATGATCATAAGGAATAAGATAATTGATCATTTGGACAATATCATACCTGATGTCAACCACATGAACCAATAGTGATGACTCTGATATCTCCTCCAATGTTGCCCTGAAAGCAGCAACCTGTTGGAAGCAATCCGTTAGACAGGCTTGTCAAAATTTCTAGAGCTCCATTCCAACTTAGATCTATGCGATACAATTCATCCAAAGCCTCTTCTAAGTCAGATAAGCCAATAAAACTAGCTAAAAACATGGGAAGGGAGATGATCACGGATATTCCCACCAAAGTTGTGAAGGGCTTACCAGGGTAGTTGGGAGCTTTTGGATGAAACCAACAGTATCTGTAAGAAGGAACTCATTCCCATTCTTCATCTGGAAGCAACCAAACGAACACAAGCATCTCATGTGAGTACATGCTGCCAGCTTCAGTAAGCCAGGTTGCCACAGACATTTTGGATAAATTTGCACGATTCGTAAAATATAAAGAAATTCATCATGCAACTACAATCTCAAGTTGCCTTTATAAAAGCAAAAGTTTCCAGTATAAAGTGGAAACCAATATTTGTTTAGTTATGCAAGTACATAATTGCAAAATAGATAATCCCTAAGCGAGTCACAACTAAGACTTTTCTTTTCCTAACTTGTTTGACTGACCTGAACCCGTCTTGTAGTTGGATCAAGCGTCGCAAAGAGCCGATCTTCAGCAAGAACACCCGCTCCCGTTAATTGATTCAAGAGTGTGCTCTTTCCAGCATTTGTGTAACCAACCTAAATGCAGTCAAATACATGGCATACCTATAATGTTAGTAGTCAGTCTAAAGAACCACCCTGCCCTCTCTTGTTTTCTTTCTGTTTTGAAAAAGAAAAGAAAGGGTAGATAATAGAATATTAGCGTGTTCCTTACCAAAGATACTACAGGAACAGGTACAGAGGTACGCCTATTCCTGTACTGCTTTCTATGTTTTCTAACAGATTCTAGCTCCTTTTTAAGAACACCAATCTAGGAAGACAAAATGCGACAGACAATCATGTGAAATCAACAGACATGAATTGTCAGTGTTAATTATAAAGTCCATAAGACCAATTCAGCAAATCAATCGACAGTGCAAAATCCAGATATCACAGAAAGTGAATCTCTTCATGTTGCACAACGGGATGTTTTATAGAAGAAAATAATGATTTATCAAGGAAAAATAAAAAAACTCAGTACAAGAAGATTACATACTTGAGTACGCAAGATACGCTTGTCTACTTCAATTTGTTTCTCTCCCATACCCTTCACCCTGCCTCCTGCTTGGCGCTCAAGGTGACTCCACATTCTAGTTAATCGAGGTAACTGGTATTCCATTTGAGCCAATGCAACCTTGAAAGACCACATTCCAAGTTATGAGGAATCACTGTCATGTTCAACCTCTTCTCAAAACTTGACAACAACATTGACTTAAGTGTGTGTTAAGAGCTCTAAACTATCAGCATCATCACAGAGAGAACCAGAGATGTGTTACTAGATACAAAGTGCAGCAGTAACCATGCCTGCAAAGATGCTTCATGCGTTGCTGCTCGCTGGTTGAATATATCCAGGATAAGAGCAGTGCGGTCACAAACTCTAACATCTCCACCCAAAGTCTTTTCCAAATTACGCAGTTGTCTATAAGTTCAACAAAATAGACAAAGATTTTATGTATAGTTTTGATGCAAAATACAGAAAACAACAATAAAGAACTTCTAGAATAATCATGACCATCACGAAGCATTAAAGAACCAGGAAGAATCAACATTGTCAAAGCTCAATAATCCAATTCATCAAAAACGATCCAAACAAAGGGCATTTGCACATATAAGCTAGTGAAAATCATAATGTTACCCCGGAGAAAGCTCATCATCAAATATTACAGTCTCAACATCTAGTCCTTGTATCGCGCTCTTAATTTCCGCTACCTTGCCTGATCCAATGTATGTCCTCGGGTTTGGAGAAGCTAGTCTTTACACAACCAAAAAACCAGTAATTCAATATTTTCATCAAAATTTCACAAATACAAAACATCGTTGGTAGTACTTACTTCTGATAACTAGAACCAACAACTAATAGCCCTGCAGTATCAGCAAGCTGTCCCAATTCTTTAAGCGACTCCTCGGTCCCAAAAGAATCAGCCATATCGCCTTTCCGCTCAACTCCAACCAGATAAGCTTTTTCCTCATAGACCTGAACAGCAAAAAACAGTTCAATTAAGACAACAGTAACTAAATTATTTCAAGAAAAGAAAAAAGACTAAAAGAAACTGACCTCTCTTCCATTTCGAAGCTTGAATCTATTTTCAGAGCTGTCTTCGTCTTCTTTCTTCTTCTTTTTCACTTTATTAGACGAAACTGGGGTTTTATCTTCTGATTCTGTGCTTGCCACTCCATCGAAAATTCCAGGGACTTCATCTTCTGTTTCTTCTTTGGTTTGAATTACTGGGTTTTGTACAAGAGCGTTGTCAGGGGACACTACTTCAGTTCCTTGCTGGAGAACACGGGTTGTGAGTTTTAAGGAATTGACCGTGTTAGAAGTGAGAGTTAAAGGGAATTTTAGCTTTTTAAGTTTTGGGAAGCAGGGTTTGTGAATTGACGAAGGCCAGGGTCGTGTTAGAGAGCAGTGGGATACAATCATGGTGTAGTTACAGTTACCTTCAGTTTACAAGTCTCGGCTCTAGATTCGACATTTGGTTAATACAAATCAAAAAACAAAATATCGCTAATCTCTGGATATGGTCAGCAGAAAAATAATAAGGGTGGGTTACATTTTAGTCCGTATAAAAAAATCCTTTTTGTTTACCTAAAATATCTTTAATATCTTAATAATTTCATTAAACATATTCTGAAAATATTAAATAAATTTTCGGTACAGAAAACCTTTTAAAATATTTTTTGAATTTAAAGGAAATTTCTGTCCAACCTTCAAAATTTTAAATGATTCAAATAATTTTATAATAGTTAAAGAGGGTTATCATATGTTTTTGTTTTTGCAAAACCGATTTTTTGGATGCTTGTAGCATGGGGAGCGACTCATTGATGGACCAAGTTTATGTAGATTTGCGAAATTATCTACGTATTTAGAGATGGTAATAAATCAAATATAAAATAGTCAATTTAATCTCATAAATACTCGTTAAAAATATTCAACAAGTATTAAATAAATAAAGATAAAAAAATACATGTATATTAATATGATTTTAGGATATAAGTATCCACTTTTCATCGTATTAATAGCCACTGATTTATTTATATTTTTTTATGAACATATAGGGATTTAATTGCATAAAGTTTTAAATCAAGGATCAAAACATTTAAAAAAAATTGACGATAAAAAAACTTATAAATAAATTATCAAAATGCAAAAAAAAAAATTAAGGATCAATTTAAAAAAAAATGATAGGGACTAAAAGAAATATTTTTAACAAATTAAATTTAACAGATATTTAATGAATATTAATAAATAGATAAACTAATTTGAGCCAGCTATGGATTAGTTAAAAATTTATATGGTAATTTCTTAATAGAGAATGATTAAAATATTTTTAATATGGTATAATAAAAAATTAAATTAATAGGCCGGGTATTCACTTATTATCATTAGCATGCGTGTTGAAGTAATTAAAAATGTTGCTAGTTTTTGGATTAAGGCATATTCTCAAGAAACTAGATATAAACTAGGTGCACTACTGTTTCCCAATGCAACCATTTCTTTTTTTCAAAAAAAAAAAAAAAACCTAGAGTTTTGGTGTTCACTTAGTAGCATTTTTTCTTTTTTTCTTTTTTTTTAATTTTTTTTATGGTTGACCTCTTTTTTTTTTTTAAAGGCTGGCCAGCAGCCCAGTCCCGGAGAAGTTACCTCACAAGCCTACGTAAACAGTCCCAACTAGTGTTTGCCTTTTTTTTTTTTTTTTTCCTTTCAATAATTTATTTTTTTTTATCATGAAATTATGTATGAAAATATATAAAAATATATATATTATTATTTTTTTTAGTTTTACAATAAATTATTTTGTTAATAAATATATATAAATTAAACATATTCGCTCAATATATAGATTTAATTTATATTAATTTCTAAAAATAAAATATCTATTTGTATTATACTATATAAATTGTTAACCTTATATATATAATAATTGTTTAATTATAAAGTAGTGCAGATATCTAATTAGTTTGTTTGCTAATCAATGTGTGAATTTTGTCTTTGCAAAACGTTTTACTTTATTCTCTTTGGTGGGATCATACCTCTTAATTGCGTTACTGTTGAAAACTGGGTAATCAGACTAACGAATGGTAATCCTTGATTGATTGGGTTTTTTTTTTTTTTCAGTTGTTAATATGCTGTATTTTACACTTTTTTTTTATTAAATAATTATTTTTTATTAAATAATTATTTTAATTTAAAAACTTAAATTGTTAGGTGATGTATTTTTTCAACAAATATCTTTATTGAGCTATCAAAATTCAAAAAAAAAATTAAAAAAAAATTCTTAAATAAAAAAAGAAATAGAAAATTATATCATGTTCAATTTGGAATTTGATCAATGATCAAACATAAGGCAAAAAAACACTCAAGGACGTTATCTTCGTGCATATCAATTACTTGAATTGGCAAGTTTAATTAAAAAAAAAAAAGGAGTCACTTTCTCATAGAAGGATGAATAAGCTAAAATAAAGGAACCTGCTCTCTGATGCTTAAGTCCCCGATGTAATGCAATCCTCTTGTCCAGTGAAATTCATTGAAAACAAATGCATCAATCAAGGTTGCTCGATCATATATATATATTAGTTTTTTTAAACTCTATAATTGTCCTCACGAAAAATATACACACGTGTCGTGTAAGTTTAAAAAATTATAAATCATTTAATATATAAATAAAATATATTTGTTAATTTTTTATTTTTTTTTATTTTTTTAGTATTCTACGATCTTTATTGGCCACAATGTATCTAAAAAACAAAATGATAAAATTTGACCAAATATTATTTAGTTATTTTAATTTTTTATAAACACGACACAATAACTAATTACCAAACATCGTTTTTACTCTAAAACACAATATAATATATTACAACACTGGACAGCATAACAACACCAAGCGAGCTCTATGTCATAGTATATTTCTATATTTAACAAAACAAAAGCACACCTTTTCAAATTTTACAGACCATTAGTAAAACTCCTACATACAAACAAATGTCACATGGGTGTCATGAATGATATCCTTGCATTTATATGAATGATTAAAAATAAAAAAACTGGCTACTTGAATAGATCGAGAACTTTCCGTTTTTTATACCTGCTTATACATTAAAGAATAAGAAACTTTCCATTTTAAGATTTAAATAAGAGAGAGAAATTGAATAAAAAATATTTAAATAAATTATAATTAGAGATATAACTTTTAAATCAAGTAATTAATAGTTTAATTTTTTGACAATGAATAATAGTTCAGAGATATCTTAATATAAAAAAAATGAATAAAATAATTGGAACGAGAAGAGTATATGTTTTGCAAAAGATTTTATATTTTTCTAGAAATAACTTCTACTGCTTACTTCGCAAAATAAATAGATACAAAGAAAAAAGAAAAAAAATTGATAAAAATCTTTTTATTATTTTTTATACATATGAATGCAATTTTTTTTTAAAAAAATAGACTCGCATATAGAGTAATTGTTATAGACTTACGATAGTTGTTTTTTAAATATTTTAAAATTTCTCTTTATTTTACTCTTATTTAACCGATATACCGAGTAACTGACCCATGAGTTTCCCACCTACAAGAATGCTACGTCCATTATAACCCAAAGACAGAGCGGCCAGAGCCATTGGTCAGTATGGGTGAAAAAAAAAAAATTACTTGATAAGTATTGTATAATTTTATGTTCAATTTTCGCTTTTATTAGCAGTAGCCACTGGTTTTGTTGCACGTTCTCCATTCGAGTGGCATAAGAATGATATCATTTAAGCTTCATGAAACATATTATATAATTTTAATTATTGAAAAAAATAATCATTTGATCATCTTTTATCGCATCCTTGATGCAAGGAGTAAAAATACTTATGTGGAAAAATTTTAATGATGTAAAAATAATTTTTTTTAATTAGTTATCCGACTAATATATACTTCAATTTTTTTTTCATTTATTTATTTTTTATTATTTAACTATTCAGATCTTTTATCTTATCAAGCGATAATGAATTTATATTTCACAGTATTTTTCATGATTTAATGCTTTGTTTCCATCCACTGTTTTTTTTTTTTTTTTTTTTTTTTTTTTTACATTCTATTTCTTTTTTATAGCTATTCAGTTTTTTTTTTTTTTTAAATGGTTCTGTATTGTTCATCTTATAAATCACTCGTTCAATTAATAAATTTATATTGTCTTTCACTGAGAAAATCTAATGGAAGATAATCTAATCAATAACCATCAAAGTCAAGTGGTCGTCTCTCTCTTTTGTTATTGAACATGAACTATACGTAGTCTAATAATAAGAAAATTGTCTTGATTTTATTAAGATTCAATTCCTGCTAGTTACGAATAATTAGTTATAATTATTTTTTAATAATATCAAACTTGAGATCATTTGGTTTAAAATGGAGTTCAATAGTTGATCAATGACTATACATGGTCTAATAGTAAAGATATTGTTTTGATTTGACTAGTATTAAGATTCAATTTCTACTCGTTTATAAATAATTAGTCATAATTATTTTTTAACGATACCAAACCCGAGTTCATTTAGTTTAAAAGGGAATGTAATAATTGATCAATGACTAAATATGTTTTAATCCCGACCTAGTTTGGAAAATAGTGAATTTAGTTTTAATCGACGTAAAAATTGATAAAAAAATACTCCTCTACATGCGTATATTTTTTTTTAAAAAACTACTATTGATAAATTACCTGTACCCCCATATAAAAAAATTCATGCACCCTTCGAGATTAAAGAAAATGCAATTTTTGTTTTTATAATATTACGTGTGTATCTCACTTTTGGTTTTATTAGATTTTCATTAACCTACTTGATGGAAGTTTAATGTTGCAATAAAATTTAAAACTTATAAAGATTAATTGAACAAAACAAAGATTTTAGAGTGAATTTGAGACAATACATAAATATCATTATCAAAAAACCCAAAGTAAAGCCGTGCTTTACTATTTATTGTATTATTTAAAACATCATTCATCTAAATTTATTTCATTATCCATTCAAACTTAGATGTATTATTCTTTTCATTATGTAGTGGTATTTTTATAGTTTTTAAATATTTTTAAGACGTTTATTATGAAAATTTTCATGATATTACATTTTGGTTTTTTTTTCTTTCAAATATTGTTTTTTTCGGTCCCCGATTTTTTTTAGTTTTATTTTGGTCTCTCTCTCTCTCTCTCTTTTTCATCTTGGTCCTTGCTTTTTGTTTCTCTCGATTTTTTTAATTAAAAATTTAAAGATAAAAAGATGTTTAGAAAAAAATTACAAAATAAGTTTTTAACTAAAAATATGGATAAAAATAAATAAATAATATTTTTTAATAAAAAATTTATGAAAGTGTAAAGAATAATTAGTCAAATACAAAATTTTGATTAAAAAAATAATAAAATTGAATGAATTTTTATTTACTTTTGATTTAATATATTTTGATAGACACATAATATAATACGAAATATCAAAATAAAATAATTTTATGTATATAAAAAAACTAGTTCCTCTTGAATAAAGAAGCAACCACATGTGATGGAGGAAAAAACTTTTTTTTTTTTTTTTTTGAAAAAAGATTAGAATTCAGTTTACGAACTTTGGGTTTGGGTTGGGAAATATTTGAATTTTTGGAATTTGAACTCGGGGCCATGTTGGGCAATGGAGTGGGCTTGAACGTCGGGTCGCGAATCAGTGATCTAAATTGTTGACCATCGCCTTGGCCCTCTACAACTCCCGCCGACAGTTATTTGCCACGTCACTCACGTGATTTCTTCATTTTTTTATTTGAAAGTATCAAAAAATTAAAATGTGTCTTGTTTGCGCGTCTTTTTGCCCTATCCATATATTTGTTATCTTATAAATATTAGCTTACTCGACAATTTTCATCTTTATATTTATTTATTTTTATTCATAAGAAAAAAATTCTCAGAATTGAAAATGCATTCGTTCACTGTTCATGGGAGAAATGTTTTCTATATAAGAAATAAAAAATGTATCTATAGTTTAATTTTTTATAAAAAAATGAAACAATAATTTCCAACAATTATTTAAATGTTAGTATATATTGTGATCATATACTAATTTTTATTCTATTCCATTAAAAATTATCAAAACAGTTCGCTAATCAACTCATGATAAGAACATGCTTGATTTTTACAAACACAAACTTATTAATTAGTTTCAAACAAAATATGAATTCAAGATATCAGTCTAAATAAAAGTTAGTGATGTTCATGTTTTGCACTAGTAAAAGTGCAGTGCAGACACTTTAGTTATAAACTTTTATCCTTGACAGGTAATTTTCAAAGTCACTTGAAGAAACATAAAAAGGAACGTGAAGTTTTTGTATGAGAATATTTCTCTAGAAGTCTCATGAAAAGATAAATTAGTCTTTTTAGTTAGAAAAAAAAAACTAATTAGTTTATTTTATTTTAAAAAATAATTATCTAGTTCTAGAATTTTAATTTTTTTATAATTTACTTTTTTTTGTTTTTTTAATTTATTTGATTCTTTTAAGAAATAGAACAAATAAAGCAAAAAAAAGAGAAGATCGATGAAAAGAATGATATTTTTAAAATGAAATAATATTAAATTCATTATGGTCAATAATTAAAAGATTAAATAATTAATTTTTAAAATAAAAAATTAATTAATTAATTTTTTTTAAAATAGAGGGAATGATTTATAATTTACTCGAAAAAGAAAGAAAAACAGACGCCACCACACATCAATCTGGTACTACTTGTATGTTGTAATTTGTAATAGCCGTTAGCCGCCACTAGCGTGTAAAAGCAGACACGTGTTAGCTTGTCAATTTGTCACTGTCACCTAGTCTGCTACTCAAACTACAGCTAACACAAACAAGCTACCATTTTATGTTCTTTTCCTTCTTTCTTAAAAAGTAATTAAAAAAAAAAAAGAACCAATAGGAAATGTTTCAGACATTCTTTAGGTGTTGCCGTGTTTGGTTCAGGAGGTAAACATTTTTTTTTATTTTCTTTTTTTAAAACAAAGAAATTTGTTCTTGATTTATCATGTTAGGTTGCATGTGAAAATAAATGGAACAAGAAATTTCTTATAAATATATTAATTTATTTTATACCATCAATTTATTTAACATCCCATTAGAAAAAGATGATAGTCTTTGCATTTCAATTGAACCGAAAATATTTATATTTTAAAAAACAAAAAAGAATAATGAAACTAAAATAAAATAAAACGTTTCAGATGCTTCTCAGCTCTTAAGCTATGTGGTTACAGGTCTACCAACTGGTTGTTAGGGTTTGAAACTCTCTCTTAAGCAATGAAAAACAAACAACCACCTCAACCATTGATTATCTTGTTGAAGAACTGTCTAGCCAGTTTAGCAGGCCTAGTTAGATGAATTGTTTTCTTTCCTTTTCTCTTACACGTGTGAAACTTAGAATGATTGACAGACATATATTCTTAAAATATTACAATAGTCTTGTTGAAATAAGATAACAAAGTAGTTGTTGTCCATATTTTAAAAAATAATACTATGACTACTGGACACCAATTATTATATATAAATAATACTAGCATTTTAATTGGGTTGGTGTTTGTGCACCAATCATAAGGAGGTTTGTTCTTTTTGGGAATAAGATCTCTTGGGATTGGTTTCTTTGTTTGTCTCCGTGGCTTTGAGCTCTTTCTGTTCCCCGCGATTGAAGCATCATTTTGAGGGTTATCAGGTATTTTGATTGGCCCTTTTGCACTTTCTTTGTATTTGAATTGTTGGTAATGGTTTTTGATACTGTGTTTCTCTTTGTTAAGTGTTTTTGGGATAGTTTAATGGTGTTTGTGAATTGAGTGTTATTGATGATGATGACTATAATGGTCAAGGGAAGGTAATAGACAACACAATCATGAGAGTTCCCTTCTTTAATTTTGGTATTATTAAGTATCTTTTGTTATTTCTCGAAAAAGAAAAGCGTGGTCTTTTTGGGTTCTGTAGATTACGTGTGTTGTGATTGACTTTTGATTTTGGCTGTGATTAAACTGTTCTTTTGCTTTCACGATGATGCTGATGATGGTCACCAGGACCATGGTGTTTGACTATTTAGATTTGTCAGTCCCTGGGTTCCTACCAAATGGGTGGTTTCTTGATGTGGGCTCTTTTTAAAATATCAAGATACCGGTAGTACCATTACCTTTTCGACATGGGTTTGATCTTGCATAAACCTAGAAAAAGTAGATAATAAAAAAAAAGTTATTGTTTTTGTAAATGAATAATGATGCATGTCTGTGCACTGCGTTTCTGATAATTGCTGTTGATTGTTTTATGTATTCGTATTTTGAAACCTAATAAAACATGTTTTTGTATGAATTGAAAGTGAGTGTTAAAAATCTAGTTCTTGAAGTTGATGTGCAATCTGAGAATTTGAAAGGTATCTGAATGGTTTTAGCAATTCTTTTTTCTTTTGTAGTTAAAATTTGTAAGCTCATCTACATTTTGTGGGCGATTACCGGCTCTTCCCTTGTGCATCATTCGATTGATGGAAGGACATTGGGAATGATGTCCTATTCATCCCAATGCTCTCTACCTGAGGTCTGAGACACAGAAATATTTGATGGCTTCCTATTACCCAAGGTCAAGCAGTCAGAGTGACGACTTGCAAACTTCGCATCCAGGGGATCAGAAATTTGCTTCTTATTCTGAAATGCCTTCCGATCTTAGTAACATGACAAGTTATATGAACCACGCTCCGGCTTCTGGGTCATACTCGGACATATTATATGGGGGTTCCTTGTCTTCTAAAAATTGTGCTGAATTCTCATCTAGTGGAGCTAGAAATGAGATGATGTTCATTCCACCTACAAGTGACACGATGCATTTACAATCTGTTGGTGGACAGTTAAATACAGCATCAGGTAATCTGGTCGGCAACTCTGTTAGAGCAGATTCCCAGGCTGTTCCACCGAGGATGCAGCTTGGCGTTCCGGATTGTGAGCAAAATTTTCAGTCGCAAGGATTGTCACTAAGCCTTGGTACGCTGGTGCAATCTGCACCTTCTGTGCCTTCACTCCAGTGTCAGTATCCGAACCAAAATTTCCCTTCTTCACTGAGTTCACATCTACATGTACCGGAGAAGTGGACTTTAACCTGTGAAGGTGATCAAAGTAAAGGCTTTAGAGAATTTGAAGGATTGTCTGGTTTTGCCAGAAGCAACCATAACCTTATTAAAACAGAGTCTTCACAAAATCCCCAGTGCATAGTTGACCTCAAAGATATGCATACTGATATGAGTATGTATGGATTTTCTGGTTATGCAAACTCCCTCTTAAACTCCAGATACCTCAAGGCAGCACAACACTTGCTCGATGAGGTGGCTAATGTCAAAAAGGCTCTGAAGCAGCCTGAATCCAACAAATGTTCCGATGACTTCAAGGAGAGTGATAGGAGACCTGATAGCTGTTCTATGCTTCCCACCTTGAATGAGAAGCGAGCAGACCCTACCGAGTCTACTGCTGACTCCACTCCTGAGCTATCAATTGTAGAACAACAGGACTTACTGAACAAAAAGACTAAGCTTCTGTCCATGTTGGATGAGGTAGGCCCAACGCCTCCTTACTTGTGCTGATTCTTTGCTATATTCATTTTTATTCGATGCTTGCATGATTTTGTAATGGAATCCCTAGATTGTTACTAAAGATCTCCAATTTATTACTTAGTCTAAAAGGATGTGCTGACGAAATAAACTGAACTAGCATTTTCATTAAAACGTTTGGGGGTATGGATAAGCTTTTGAGGGAAGAAATCCTTTTAATGTTAAGTTTCATTAAAGATTTTAGATCAGAGATGGTAGCACGTGGAAGTTTCTAAGGCAAAGATATGGCGTTTCATGTTGGTAGCTGGTGTGATTCAGCTAAGATATGAGAGGGATAATGAAGTTAATTTAGATCAAGTGCATAATATAACAGCTCTTCCTTGATTCCTTTGTTTTGTGAATGATTTGTGTTTATGCTTTATGGCTTTCTATATCCTCAGCTCTCCATATGGATGGATCTGTTGTTTCCATGGACTTTTACTTTACTGAGGGGTCTGAGCTTTGTTCAAAGGTTGCTAATACTTTTCTGCAGGTAGACAGAAAATACAAACAGTATTACCATCAAATGCAAATTGTGGTGACATCTTTTGACATGGCGGCTGGTCATGGGGCAGCTAAATCATATACAGCACTTGCTCTCCAAACAATTTCTCGTCACTTTCGCTGTTTGCGTGATGCAATTAGTGGTCAAACAGAAGTTATTATGAAAAGGCTTGGGGAGCAAGGTACTTCACCAAATGGTCAAGGAGGAATACCACGTCTCCGTTATGTGGATCATCAGATCAGACAACACAGGGCTCTTCAGCAGCTTGGGGTGATGCGACATGCTTGGAGACCTCAAAGGGGGCTCCCTGAGAGCTCTGTTTCAGTCCTTCGAGCATGGCTCTTTGAGCATTTCCTTCATCCGTATGTTATGTTACTGGATACTTATTTTCCAAATAAAAGCTGTTCTTTGTCACAATTGTTATCTTACTAATACTTTCTGAATTTGTGTTTTTCACCAGCTACCCAAGTGATTCAGAGAAAATCACGTTAGCAAGGCAGGCAGGCTTGACCAGAAACCAGGTAAAGATCTTGTTAATCTGGCCAATCAATCCTCCGTAAATGAAGATTTTAATTATTAAGTGCTTCAAAATATGCAGTTCTTCTTAGGAACCTTTTAGTGAAGGGTCTCTGTGAGAGAGTGGTCATTCTCTAATCCACTCTTGATATGGAACCCTTCTTTCTCTTATCATCTTGCATGATCAATTTCCTATTTAAATCAGGTCGCGAACTGGTTTATAAATGCACGGGTGCGTCTTTGGAAGCCAATGGTTGAGGACATGTACAAAGAAGAGTTTGGTGATTCAGAGACAAACTCCAAACCTTCTTCCGACGAACCAACCAAAGCCCATGGAGATAAATCAGATAATCACCTGACATCTGAGAATGGGTTACGTGAATTGCATGAGAGCGTGACATCTACAGTGGCTGATAGTTCCCAGCCAGGGCAAGTCCATGACATAAAATCTAATCATATTCTTGAATTAGAAATGAAAGAACCTATAGCGAAAACAGTGCCTGAGAATGGATCTCATGGACCTAATGTGGCAGAATCTGGGATTATGAAATTTCCGCATGACCGAAGGTTGAATGTTAATGCCAATAACTTTTACCCACATGAGAACATCCCATGCGACCAAAATGGGGGTGGAAATCTTATGTCTGCTGCTGTTACATATGATGTATCAGACTTAAATGGATTTGCAGTTGGCAGCCAGATGTCTCTTGCATTGGGGTTGCAAAGTCATGACAGCGATTCATTTCCCATGTTTGGTGGGGCCCATATGAGAAGTAACAACATAGCAGCCTCTTCTCTGGGGCATAACGAGGTGGATTATCACTGTATAGATACGGGAAAGCAACATGACAGGTTTGCCAATTCTCATCTGATACATGATTTTGTAGTTTGAAAGAATCCATGCTTCGAGCTTTATGAGTGAAAAATCAATCCATCCATTGAAGGATTAGTGAAATTTTGGACAACATGAAGCGGGAGAAAGCAAGCTCAGTGATGTTGCTTTGCTATTCATTTATCCTGGTGCTTTTGGGTTGAATAGAAGAAAACCAACATCCTTACAGATATAGATGTATATAAGGGTATGATTCTGATTGTAATATACGGATAGATTCCGGGAATTGTAGATATGTTTGTGTATATACAATAATATTTTTGTGGTCTTCTGTACTTTATAGAATAAGGAATCTGTACAAGTACTTTATTGTGACACTGATGCATCATTTCTTTCTGAATTCTGAAATAAATGTGATTTACGTATCTGTCTACGTGAACTTTGTCCATTTTTTTAGCCCATTTAATATAGGATGTGATGGATTTGCACTCCTATTCGAATATATTGTTGCAGACTGAAGTTTTGCTTAACCAAATTTCAATAACATAAATTGACTGAACCTTCTCTGCTCTTTCCTTCTTGCTTCGTGTTTTGTCTTGATCTCAGGCGGCTAATTTTTACTTGGTTTGGGCCCAAAATCCAAATCTATGCTTACTGTCGGTCTGGTTTATTGGATTCTGTCCTCTCATTCCTCTAGTCTTTTTCAATCACTTCCTTTTTCTTTCTCAAGAATCATATTGTTGGTTAATTTAGACACCCTGCTTCCTTCTCATGTCCTTTACCTTGTTTCTTGTTGCCTGTTGGTCACTATCTTATACACTACCTCTTTACCCCATTGCCAAACCATGTGTCTTTAGCATATCTCTTTCCTCAAAGAGCTCGAGTATGACATTATTTGAAGTACCATTACTGATCATCCCATTGAATCATGAATCAATCAATCTTTACTTTAGATATGCTACCTTTCTGAGCAAGTTTCTATTTCTCATCATTTAGACTACCGAGCTCACTACCCTTCACCTGATGTAAATTTCAGGTCATTATGGCCACCAACTTAATTAGTTCAAACTAGGTACTTTTAAATTGGGGTTTATGAGGCCTAAACAAGTGCTAAAAAAGCTGACAGAATTTATCCTTTTGAATTTACTGGAATAATTCAGATAATGCAGACACTTTAATCTTATTAGGGTGGGCCTTTTAGTTCCAAGATAAACAACAATGTTAGGGAACTAGAGAGTGACAGCTGGAGGAGGCCAAAGGAACAAAGATGGCAATCATTACTAAAGCATCCAGAGGACTAACCCCAAAAAAAATAAAAAAAATACACAACTAGAATCAGTCTTATCAGCACACAAAAACACATCCACAACCCAATAATCTCTCTCTTTCTTTGTTTGAGGGCACAAGATGCATTTTTGATTTTTTACTTGGCTCTTGAAAGATTGTGATATTCGGTGTCCTTTCAACATCTCTATGCATGATTACAGCACCTAACAGGAAAAAGCTAGATATTCCCATATGCCCAGAGTCTCAGAAACAGACAATCTTAAAACTGGGAGTGTGCAAAAGATAGCCAACTTTTTCTCCACCTTTTACAGATGACAGCAAACCAGTGAACAGAACAAATTTTACATATTAAAGAGCTCTCCTTCTTGTGACAAGCAAGAGAGAGAGAGAGACAATTACACTGTTTTTAGCTGAAAGTACTTTTGAGTCTCCCAAAGAAATGTAACTGCAAGCATTAAAGCTGAAGGATTGATGCTTTTGCTTGCTGGTCTGTACTCAGAGAAGTTGGGGGAGGGGGGGGGGGGGACCATCTTTTGCTCTCAGCTTCTGCATCTTTACTCAACCAATTAGCTTCTCTTCTTTAAGGAACTATCAGGGGGTTGTCTCTTAGCATTATAGCTTACATTTTAGACCTGCTCATTTTTTCAGAGAGAGAGTTCTGAATTTCTTCTGGGAATTGTTATGCTCTAAACAAAAGTATATAGCATTCACAGATTGGTGGATTTGTAGCCCTAGACTTCTGACATTCGTTGTTTTTTTTTATGCTTATTAAAGTTAACTGAATCCCATCTTAGCGTTTAAAAGGGGGTTTTTGAAACTTTGATAACTAGTTCGTTGGTCAGGTAAGGAGTTAGTTGCCAAAGACTAATTAAGATGTTGGTTTGACTTGTTTTCTTCTTTTCCCGGTCCTTTACTGTACTTTTACCAGCTCTTTATTTCTTCTTCTTCTTTTTTTCTTCGAGGCTTCCACATTTTGAAACTCTTTGTTTCACTTCTGTCTGTCTCTCTCCCCATTCCAACTATGTTCTGATGTATTCTTTTAGAAATTTTGCTTTACTTGCAGTTCCGGTTTCAATTCTGTTCCTACATATTTGCTTTCAACTGGGTTTCGTTTGGCTCGGTATTATTGAATTTTTGTTTTGTCAATAGTGATTCACTTTATAACTGTGAACTTCATTTAGTTGTAACCTCTTGTCATGCCTAATAATGCAGTATCTCTTTCTGGCTCCCGATTCCAGTTGCTTTAAGTGCAAGTTAGGACAAAATGCCACTTCAGAGCTGTAAGTCGTTTCTCGTCTGTCTTCTTGCTATCCAGTTATGAATGCATGAGAAAATCCCAAGTTTAATTCCTCCCAAGATAGGTATTGCCTTTTCGTTTTTTTTGGCTTGCGAATCAAACCGGGTACTTCGAGTTCTGATTCTTTCTTAGCTATACATTATTGATCATTCAAGCTATAGAACACTTCTCTTGAGTTGAAAAATCAGTACTTTTGTGCCATCCTGCTTAATTGTTAAGTATGGTTTCACAAGATTCACCCCCAAATTCAGCTTCTAGCATGTTGCACCAATTCATTATCTCAGACTCCATTACTAGTCAAAACCAATTTCAAAGCCAGAATTTCAACGCTTTCGGTTCAGACTTACGAGGCAGCAACACATTTCCTCAATCTCATGGTGTATTGCCTAGCATACAGTCTCTTGAGGAGAGAATGTCTAGGTCAATAGACCTCGTCCGAGCTTCCTCAGTCGCTCAAGAATCAGAGATTAGCCACACTAGACACTTAATGGATCTTCTTGGAGCGGCAAACGAGACCAATCATCAAGCTCAAAGGCTATCACTATCTCTTGGTTCTCACTTTCTTGTTCCTCAAGTCCAGTACAGGCAGAGATCCTTTAATTCGGATCTCATAAGTCCTAGTTACTTAATTCCTAGAGAAGGAGAAGCCAGGGAAGCTTACAATCCTGGAGATGAACAAGTAAACAACGACTATTCTCTCATTGGTAGTGGATTTCCTTCATCATCAACCTCGTTAAGTAGACCTTCTTCTTCTGCTTATGGAACAGAATCTTTTGCTGTTGCTATAGGGAATTCAAGGTATTTAAAGCCTGCTCAATCCCTTCTAGAAGAAATTGTGCATGTAAGTTGCAAGGCAGTTGAAATGAGCAATGAAAAGTATGTTAGAAAGTTATTTCGTTGTGGCCAAAGAGGATCTCTAGGACTTTCTTCTGAATTAAAAGCTGAACTGTGGGGTAATGGGCTAGTGCAAGCTGAGAAACATGAAATCCAGCTTAAAATTGCAAAGCTTATCGCATTGTTGGAGGAGGTAAGTCAAACAATATTGTGGTATAATCTCTGTCAGCAGGCTAACTTCGAATGCTTTCGAACTCGAATCTGATGAGATATTTTGTTGATTTCAGGTTGAGGGCAGATATGAGAGATATTGCCATCAAATGGAAGAAGTTGTATCATCATTTGAGGAGATGGCAGGTTTAGGAGCGGCCAAAACTTACACAGCCCTAGCGCTTCAAGCCATGTCCAAGCATTTCTGCAACTTAAGAGATGCCATAGTGTCCCAAATCAACGAGACAAGAAGAAAATTCTCTCAAGATTTACCAAAACTCAGCACAGGATTGTCGCAACTTGGCTTGTGTGACAGAGAGACCAAACATAATCGGACGTCTCTTCAACAGCTTGGAATGATGCAGAGCCAAAGACAAGTATGGAGACCCATCAGAGGGTTGCCAGAGACTTCCGTAGCCATTCTTCGCTCTTGGCTTTTTGAACACTTCTTGCACCCGTAAGTTCTTTAAAATCAGTGATAACTCAATGGGGATCATCTTCTTATTAAAACTGCGATTTACCCACTTCATTGTTCACACATAGGTATCCAAATGATTCTGAGAAGCTAATGTTGGCATCGCAGACAGGCTTGACAAAGAATCAAGTAAGTTTAATTTTGCTTAATCTTCCAATAACAGGCTAACTCTCTTTATAGTTTACCTTGACACTGATTAAGTTGTGGGCAATTCATTGCTGTTTTAGGTTTCAAACTGGTTTATAAATGCTCGAGTCCGGCTATGGAAGCCTATGATTGAAGAAATGTACAAAGAGGAGTTTGCAGATTCTTCTGAAGACTCAAGCTCATTATTAGGCAGTTCTTCCATGGCAAGGGAAGGTGTGACAGATCATTCAGATAACTGAAGGAATGGGTTGATAGCTAAATTAATTCCTTCTTCAAGTTGTTTTTTTGTTTTTTTTTTCATGAAAGAGGAAATTAACATCTCTTGTAATCACTCATCCTAGGCAATTAAAGCTGAAATGTCTGAGAACAGTATAGACCAGTGATTTCAGGGAAAGCACACAAATTGCCATGGTCATAGAGAGCACTTCAGGCATAACTAATATCCATTATTTAGCTGTTTGTATCTATCACTGTTTTAAAAGTCACATGTCCAAGCAAGCAAGTAAGTTTGCAATCTAGTGACAGTATCATCTGAAATGGTAGGTGCAGGTGGGTAACTAGGACTATCTGTCAATTTGGGATCGCTGTAAAAAAGAGTAAAATATAAATTAGTCTCTCTAGTCACGAGAAATGATTAATTAGTTTTTTTGTTTTTTTTTTAAAAACTAATTTTGTAATCTTTATATTTTTAAATTTTCTTATAACTTAATTATTTTTTCTCATTTTCAATTTATTTTGATTTTTTGTTTTAAGAATTAGGGAAAAAAAGAGATTTTATGAAATAAAATACTATTAAATTAAATGTGGTCAACATTGGTAAAAAAAATAAAAATTAAATAATTCGTTTTTTAAAATAAGAGTGATTAATTAATTTATTTCTAAAAATACAGAGACTAATTTATAATTTACTCCTGTAAAAAATGAATTGGATAACAAAAAAACTGAATACTGAAATTAGTTCAAAAAGTAGAGGTTTTTCTTTTCTTACATATTAATTGAGACTAAATTCTTTCTCTAGGGGATTTTAACAGCATATCTTTGGTGATCCTGTACATTAAAAGAAATTTAATAAAAAAATTTATATGTTGAAGTTTGAATAAATAAAGTCAAGAAGAGAACATATACTTCATAAGATAGATAAAATAATAATAATAAATAAATCCAAATACAACAAAAAGAATATTTCTATCTATTTTTTTTAATTCTCTCTCTCTCTCTATGAAATATAAAATAAGTATTTTTAATTTCTCCATAAATAACATAAAATTTCTCTCTTTCTCACATATGAAATAAGTATTTTTAATTACTCCATAAATAACATAAAATTTCTAAGAATCATACCTTTTTGTTGAGAAATTAGTCTACTATCTAAAATTATGGAACAAAACCTCCTTATTGAGAAATTAGTCTACCATCTAAAATTATGGAACAAACCGATAAAAGTTTTAATTATTAATTATGTCATTCCATAGTTATGAACGTGTTATCACATTATAAATGTGATTTATTAAATAAATAATTTACATAAATTTAATTATTTTTAATAGTTATGTTGGTGTGATAGATTATTTTAACTACCGAGACTATGTTTGGGTAATATTTTCTCTTTCTAACTCACCAAAACCAACTCCTTATGGTTCAAAAAGTAGAGTAATATGTGCTTGAGATGGCAGTCCAGGTGATGAGGTTGAGGGTCGCTCACCGATGACACAAGGGTTAGATTTTTTTGCGCACCTCTGTCACCCATACGGTGCTTTACCCGTCCATTGGACTTGCGGGATGTTCGGTGAGCCTAAGAATTAGTCGAGATGCGTGCAAGCTGCTCGAACATCATAGATTATAAAAAAAAGAAAAAAAAAGTAGAGTAACATTTTGTGCCTTCTGTTGTTGGTTTTTTTTTTCTTTTCAAAAAAAAGTATCGCAACACCAACATACATAAGCAACGCTGTTGTTTTGAGCTTAGAACTTGAATGTCAGTCATGGAAAAAAAAAAAAAACCAAACATGCCCTTGCTAACTGAGAAGGCAAATTCCTGTCTTTATTTTTTCTCAAATTTCTCTCTCCATCTTTTTATGCCTTTCATTTTCTTTTTTTCATTTTTTTTATTTTTTTATATGATTAATGGCCAGGAAGTTCCTCGTCTGGGATAGATTACGTCCTTTTTTGCGTCCAGCCCAGGCTTTTTTTTTTTTTTTTTTTTAAAGTTTATTTCTGAATACCAAACTATGATAAACCATTACGCTAAGGACTCGTGATAATTTTATGTTTATTTAACACATATTTTAACAAGCAAAGGTTTATCTTTTCTTTAATAAGAATTGGACCTTATAGATGAAAAGATCAGAAATTTTATATGCTAGAGCTATCAAACTAAACAAAAATTTCGGAATTCCTAAAACTGAAAATTAATGAAAGGGAGGACATGCATACGACTACGTGGAGGGCCATGATTCAACTGTACCGTGATGTGGACTAAAAAGAAATAACAATCTCAAACCGTCGAGAGATATTTGGTTATAAAAAATAGAATAATATAAATCAAAATAAAAGTTTTATTTTTACTTTATAACGATTTGGTTAAAAAAATATGTGAAAATGAAAATAAATAGTGAAAATGATAATGAAAATTATATCTATCTTCATTTTCATGTGAAAAGAGAGAATAAAAAAATTTCTTTAAAATAATATTATTTTTATTTGTTATGTGTTAATTATTTCTATCATCATCACATTAACTACAACCATCATCATTTTTATTTATTGATGAAATTATTTTTTTAATTATTATTTTTATTTATTTTAAAAATCAAATATTAAAAATTTTAAATTTTATTTTAATTTCTTATTAACGTTTCAAACATAGTATAATAATGTAAATGTCATTTTTATTTTCAAATTTTCATCCCAATTGTTACTTTTTTATTACTAATAATCAAATGACATCTAAGAGTAATAGAATAGGCATACCATCAAAAAATGACGAGAAAGAGTAGGAAATTACTCTGTGGTGATGCTAGCCCATAAATTTAAAAATATTTATTTTATAAAGAGGAACATATGCAAATAAGCGGAAAAAAAAATCATATCCAAATTTATTAAAAAAATATAAAAATATTTATAGATATTAATCCGCTGAGCAGAGAGCAGAGGGATTTGTGATCAGGATTCAAAACTTTTTTGAAAATAAATGACTTGGTCCGTTTGCTAACAGGAGAGACATGATCCTTAATTAATCTGAACGGGATATGGCATTGGTTTGCCTTTCAGGAATTCTATGTATTGAACATTTGAACCTTAGCTAGCTTTTGTGTCAATTCATGCACAGCAAATGGATTCTGTGGGTTTCCTCGTCAACGATTCTTTCTCAGTTTCTTTTCTTCTTTTCCTAGGTTAGCTAAAAAAAAATTCAAAAATTTTGGAAGCGAATAATCTTGAAGAGATTTAAGGTAAGGAAAACGTTAGTGGGTTCAAGAATTCTGTAAGAAAGCAGAAAAATTGCGAGCTGCCTGAAACTCGAGCTGAAGAATGCATTCGTATGGGTCTACTGCTTCCCCATGTAGCATACAAGAAAGCAAGCAATAAATTAAGGACTTTTTTGCTGGGTTTTTATTATTTTTGTTGTTTTTGCTTTTGGTTTTAATTCAAAAAAGGTTGGTTTTATTCTGAAGGATACAAAACAGGAAAATATTTGACGACACCATAATGACAGTACACCGTTTTCAAAAATAGAAATAGTTTAGGTGTAAATTTAAAAACTGAAAATATTAAATGATATAATACTCATTGAAATAAAATATCATTCCTTGTATTCCTCTAAGAAAACACAACCTCTATAAAATTATGATAATTTTTTTTGACACTATTAATATCATGTAATACTACAAAATAATATTCTTAAATATAGTGATTATACGACTCCAATCGTTACTATTCTTTGCATGTCTTTTTACATTTTACCCAACGCTAACTGCTCAAGCTTGTCGGGAAGGCATTGCAGGACTACTCCCCCATGAGTTGTTCAAGAAAGCAGAACTACCTGCTCGAACTCGTATAGTTGTATTGATCAAGAAGCCAATGTTAATTGACTTGGGCTTGCTTGTGGATTTTATTAAGCTTGAGCACATTGATATCGATGGTCATGTTCCTTAATTATTTTGGGTTCCTCAAGCAGCTAAAGGTGTTGTTTTAATTTTCATTATTTGTGATCTTTTTTCTTCTGTTTTAATTTTTACTAGGAGTTTTAATTTGTACACGGATAGTAGAAAGTGCCTTATTTGGCAGAATAAAGTTGAATTTTTTCTGTCTTCTTTTTTTGGAATTATAATCCCTAATATGATAAATCATGTTAATTAAATCTTGACGTTCCAATTCAAATCAATAACAAAAATTTTGTTAGAAATCTAAATATTTCACTTACTTTCTGTCCCTTCTACAAAATAACGCAATAAAAAAAAAACAATATTAGAGGACACAAGATCCTTTCCTTCTGTTGATGAAATTTCTAAGACATTGCCTTTGAATTGAATGACATTTATTCCTTTTCTTCTCTTCTTTTCTTCATAAAAAAAAAAAATGGTTTGGTGATAAATTTGAAGAAAATTGATGGTTGCATTTTTCAAAATTTGAAAACTCAATTATGTTTCGTCTATAGATAAACATAAATTAAGAAAGTCATTCATCGATGAGAATAAAAGATTGTGTCATTACAACTCATTATTTTATCTCCTTAATGCTACTAGAGACTTTTTCCCCCTTCTCATTCTACCATAAAAAGAGTAATTGCAAATCTGGCTTATAAGTAATTATATCATAATCGGACAGCAAAAATGAGGCTTAGCATCGAACTTGTAGGGAATTTGTCCATGGATATTGAGATGTCAAATGGATATATATATCAAATTAGAAGAAATCGAATATATGATCAAACTTCTCCTAAAAATTATCTATAAAAAAAAGGGGCAATGCTAAGATTTTTTTTTCTTTCTAAATTTTACTTGCTAAATGACGTCTTGCAATCTGAAGAGTAAGGCTTTAGAAGCCTACCCGAGCATAGCCTCGTGTTACCCGAATGAAACAAGTGATTAGACAAGAAAGTAAGCAAGGTTTAAGTCTTTTGTATGAAACTCAATTTCAACTATTTAACTTAATATGGTATCGGAGCCTCAAAGAGGCTCAACGGCCCAATAAAGATCTTGAGCCTCAAACCACTCGACGGACCCCAAAAAGATGAGACTGTAAGTGAGGAGGAGTATTAGAACATATCTTACATTGAGTAGTTAAATCAATAATAAATAATATATAAAATTGAGAAGGAATCACTCACCACAAGACTTAAATCTTTTAAATAAAATCCAATCTCAACTATTTAACTTAATACGTACCTATGTTAAGATCGGGCATAACGCAATTATTGTTCTTTAGATACAACATTTGTTGACGCTCTTGAATTTCACCCAAAATTTCCAGCCCATTAAAATGAAAAGGAAGCGTAACCCGTAAAGAACCTTCGAGGCTATTACAGATAAGGCGGCCCACAGCTCAAATGCGAAAAAGGCAGGGTCGAAATGCTCTAATCCTAATCCCGTTGTCCTACACAGTTCATAATGGCAGCCGTCTGCCTGCTCTCCTCGCCCTTTCGAAGTTAAGCTTGGAAGTAGCAAGTAGTACTGTAACGTTTGAAACAAAAACACAGTCCCGTCAAATTGTTTAGAAAGTTGCTATTCACACTTGCGTTATATTGGGGAACTATTACACATTTAGCCCTCAGGTTATTAGGTAGATTTTCGATGTTAGATTGTACCGAAATTAAAGGAAAAACTATCCTTTTTCTTTTCTTCTTCTTCTTCTTCTTTTTTTTTTTTTTTTTTTTTTTAGCTTCGTATCAGTTTTCTTTTCATCTTTTTTTTTTTAATGTAAAAAATATGATGTTTTAGTCAACTATTAGTTTTTTTTACTGCGTTACATCTGCGAGTTGGATAAAATATATAAAATCGTTTAGAGAAATCATTTTAGCTTAATGGTCTGTTTTATGATATGAATCTACAAAAATATATAAAATCAAAGGTGAAAAAAATTATTTATAATTTTTTAATTAAAAATTTTGTATTTAACTATTTCTTGTTTGTGTTTTCCATAATTTTTTCTTTAAAAAAAGGATTTATCCTTGTTAATCCATGGATTATTAACTAAAAATAAAATTAAATAAGTTTTTTTTAAAAGCTTAAGTATTTCATAAGATTTTGTTGAAAAACATAAATAATAATTATTAAAAGCTTACATAGAATTGAAGAAATAATTTTTTTTTAATGTTGACGAGAATATCGATTTTTGAAAAATGTGAATTTAATTTTTATATAGTTATTTACAAAAGAATGAATAATAGTAAAATAAAAACTATATTAATTTGACTTTCAAGCATTAATTAATTAATTTGAGTTTTTTTCAAAAAAAATCGAGAAAAATTATTTGAAATACACTTTTAATCTAAAAATGTATTTTAGACAAATTATATATACTAATCATGCCACTATGATTTAAAAGTTATCTAAATCTATTTCAAAAGAAAAAATAATCACGTTCTAAACTTTGTTCCAAAATCAATACATATAGAAAAATAAATCAAAATTGTCGGTAAATATAATTTTAAATTAATTGGATGAGAATTTAAAAAAAATGATAAATTAAAGTAGTCAATTTTAAAAAATAAAAATAATTAAAAAAAATACTAAAACAAAATGAAACCAAATCACAATATAATCAAAGTTTGAAATTGAAAAAAAAGAAAGAGAATTTTTTAAAAAATGACAAATTAACGTAATAAATTTTAACTAACAAAAAAAAATGAGAAAACTTATTTGAAAAACACTTTTAACCTAAAAATGTATTTCGGACAAATTATATATATATATATATATATATTAATCATGCCACTATAATTTAAAAATTATCTAAATCTATTTTTCAAAAAAAAAAAATCATGTTCTAAAAATTTATTTCAAAATCCATACATATAGAAAAATAAATAAAAAATATTGAAAAATATAATTTTAAATTAATTAGATGACAACTTTTTTTTAAAAGACAAATTAAAGTAAGAAAATTTTAAATAATAAAAATAATTAACAAAAAACACTAAAACAAAATAGGACCAAATCACGAGTATAAGTAAAGTTTGAAATTGAAAAAAGAAAGATAATTTTAAAAAATGACAAGTTAAAGTAGTAAATTTTAAATAATAAAAATAATTAACAAAAAACACTAAAACAAAATGTGATCAAATCACAATACAATTAAAGTTTGAAATTGAAAAAAAATATATAAAAATTGAGGACCAAAGTGTTACAAAAATATCATGAATAGTAAAAAGAATAGTGGTTTGTGAGTGTGCGAATAATGATTCGTGAGTGTATGAATAGTGTTTTAAATAGTGAATGAGTAGTAAAATTATGTTTTATTTTAGTTTTGTTGATAATAATGATGGTAAATAGTGCTTTTCCTCTTCCAAAGAAATTACAATCTTTGACTTTTTATATAACTATTGGATGCTTTGGTTAAAAAAAAAAAGACTAATTTTTTTATACAATGAATTTTTTAGATAGAAAATTTTTTTTAAAATTTTTTTCATTAATTATTCCTAATTTTGTTTTTCATTTTTGACTTTTCTTATCTATTAAAAAAAATCATAATTGTTATATTTATACTTTAAACTACTTTCTCTTGAAAATTGTATTTACACAATTGTTTACAAAATGAATTCCAGTTACGAGTATTTTTTTAAAAAACACATCACTTAAAATTTTGACTACACAATAGAATAGAAAGGTAGAGGATCACTTTGGAAAATTAGTCTTTTTAATTTAAAAAACAAATTAATTACTCTTTTTATTTTAAAAATTTATTATTTAGTCTTTGTATTTTTAGACTTTCTAGTAACTTAATGTTTTTATTCTATTTTCAATCAATTTTGATTTAAAAAAAAATGAAAAAAATAATATTTTATAAAATAATATAATATCAAATTAAGCATGGACAACACTCGATTAATGAATTAATAATTAATTTTTATAATAAGAGTGACTAATAAATTCATTTATTCAAAATAGAAGGACTGATTTATAATTTACTAAAAAACCAAATATCTATAGAGATAAAAAAAAAACTGTCAATTGAGGAACTGAATCAAGACAAAAAACAGTAAAGGAAATCAAAATAATACAAAATTCGGAATAGGAGGCTGAATCAAAACAAAAAACAGTAAAAGGTTCAAAATAATACAAAATTCGGAATAGGAGGACGAAATACCCCAATATCTATTTCTGCCACCCTATGATGTAATAAATATGAATTTGGTCAACATTTATAAACGACAACACGCGCAGACACTACCTCCCCCTCCTATCTGAAGGAAAGAAAACCATGACAAGCAGCTCCGCTCCGTCACGCAAGGTCTCTGTTCCTCTCTATAAATCTCAACCCACACGCAAATATCTATACATGCCTATTCTATGCCCTAATTTTTTTTAGCGATCGTTGATTTCTATTTTGATTTTTTTTTAATAAAAAAATGACTTTTCTTGCGTAGGCTTTAAGCAAGATCGCTTGCAACAGACTGCAAAAAGAGCTCGCAGAATGGCAGCTCAATCCTCCTTCAGGTTTCAAGCATAAAGTCACTGACAACCTCCAACGGTACCGTTTTGATCCCCAATTTGATTGATTTTGCTTTAATTGGGGATTTTAATGACGGTTAATTTGGGATTATTTGTGATGTAAAAGATGGGTGATCGAAGTGAATGGAGCCGCAGGGACTCTGTATGCCAATGAAACTTATCAGCTTCAAGTTGATTTCCCTGAACATTACCCCATGGAAGCACCACAGGTCAGTGGTTTTTTCCATTTCTTGTTAATTTTTTGATTTTGCTATTTTATATAAGAATTAGTGATTTGAGAATGGAAGTGTTATTTAGTCGTAATTTTTTATTATTTGTTAAATTGATGGAACAGGTGATTTTTGTCCCACCGGCTCCTCTGCATCCTCACATCTATAGCAATGGACATATCTGTTTAGGTATTGCCTCATTAATAGTAGTAAATTTCTTGACATTTGTCTTTTTTTGCGCTAATTATGTAAATTTATTGGCTTTAAAATAGATTTGGAGTATTTTTCTTTGTTGAGCGGATACTGTTATACTAGCCCTAAGGCTAGTGATTCTGACTACATTGCGTACATGTCGAAGGTAGATTGAGTTGGATTCTCAAGGTTTTCTAAATGAGGTTTTGCTATAAGCTTTTAGAGTATGCCCCCTTGGGTTTTTGCTCTGGTTGTCAGGTCCGTTGGGAATATCTGTATGGAGAAGTCTATCATATAGTTTTTCCTAGATTTTTTTGTATTTCATGCTGCGGTTTAAATAGTAAGAGCCTGCAAATTTTTTTGTTTCCTTGAAATTTTGAAGCGATGGTGGTGGTCTTAGGCTAGTAGGACGGGCGCAGTGCATCTTGTTTTATTTGGAAAATGAATTTTGTTTGAAACAATGGTGTGCGATGGTAGCTCATGCAATCATCGATGTATTTCCGTTGTTTGTTGAATCGGGAAACAAAGTTTATTCTATCGCTCCAGAAGACAGTCGATGAAAATAATTTTGATAGCTTTTCATTTGCTTCCTTTGACCAAGGATACAGTAGTAAGTTGTGCCTTGAACATATATATAATTCATATTTTTGTTATTTCTTTTTGGTCGTTGCAGATATACTGTATGATTCATGGTCCCCAGCTATGACTGTTAGTTCTATCTGTATCAGCATTCTCTCTATGTTATCCAGTTCAACAGTGAAGGTTAGGTTCAATTTGTTAAGAGTTTAAAGCCTTTTTTGTTCACTCTTACCTGTTTTATCAAGTGCTCATATACACTGTGATGGTTTGCAGCAACGTCCTGCCGATAACGATCGTTATGTGAAGAACTGCAGGAGTGGCCGATCTCCTAAGGAGACAAGATGGTGGTTCCATGATGATAAGGTTTAATTCCATTATGCATCTGTCGTCTGTGTATAACAACAAAGTTGTCAGTCCTATCTATCTCGGGGCCTGGTAAGGCTTGGAGCCCCCAAAGCTCTGGCAACCCATTTACTTTTTTCATTGGCCGTGAATCACGTACCTGGTATTTTTACTATGTACCTTGGTGCCTCCCTTAGGGGATTGCAAGCAATATATATTAATCAAGGAGAACAACTTATATGGCTTCTCCCCTTATTACCGTCATATTAGGTATTTAAAACCAAGAACAGCTAATTCATAAGATGTCCAACAGAAACTGCATATATTCTAATGGTGTCTGATCACTTATGTATATCCTCCAGCAGAAACTATTAGAGATTCAATAGCAAGTGTTTTTAAGTGAACATTCCATATTGCAACTCTTTCAAATCAAGTGCCAGATTGGCACTATATTCACCAACCGGAGAATAGTTCCAGTGGAAGGAACTTGGTATTTTTAGGCCGAACAATTCTAGGAAAGTGACGTTTAAATGGGTGATTTTGAGCTTTTATGCGTATGGAAGAAAAGCAATGTTCTTGAGTTATCTTTGTAGGAGGAAGGTAGGTTTACCACTGCGAGGGCTCCTCCTGTTTGCCCTTTGCCTGAAGAACGAGGCTCGTCCATAGTCGAAGGTACGTGCTAACAGCATAATCATGCGATCCTTTTATGCTCTTGACACGGCTCATCAGTCACCAAATCAGTAGGCGTAGCATCCTAACATGCCGTTTATGGAAAGTAGACATAAAATATGATATTGACATCATAGATCGATAGCAGATAAACGCATTATCAGGCAGAGCGTAGATTGCGTACAACTTTGAGGATTTTAATTAGCTTGCATTGCTTCTTGCTTCCAAATTGCAAGTTGGGACAAAGTCTGTGTCGCAAGTCGCAAGACATCTTTCTTTCTTTAAGAGGGAGTTAGATATGTTGAGGCTTAGTTATTGGATCAAATGGGGGCCAACATTAAGTTGTAAAATGGATTATATTAGTCTCTTAGGAAGTGGCATGAAATTGCTACATTCTAACTTCTGAACTTGCTAAAATGATGGAGGCACAAATGAGAAGCTTCTGAATTCTTTTGTTTCTAGCAATGTTAGCTGCTGAATTAAGAGGTGAAGGGAAAAACAACACTGCTCATACCCAAATCAGTGTCACTAATTCTTTAGATCCTGCCAAACTGCTAGGAAGTCAAAAAACAAGACTTCTCATCCTGAATTGTCGTCAATGACCACTAGAATAGCTACGGTGGGTACTATAGAAGAGAAGGAGGTGGGTGGTTGAGGAGGAGGAGGTAGCAGTGGTGGATGGGGATGGGGAGGAAAAGGTTGTGTTGGTGGTGACTACTATAAATGGGCTGATTGTGGTGGGAAAGGGAAGGGGAGAGGAGGGAGAAGCACCAACAACCACCCAATGCATAGGAAGAGATTTCAGCAATCAAGAGTTCGAGACTGCAACCTTGGAGAGTTTGCGCAAGCATGGGAAGAGTAAGGTGTAGAGGCATGAGGTTGGATTGCCCTCTTCACTGTTGGGGTCCTTGCTTCTATTACTGCCAACATAGGTGCAAGGCTCACGGTTGACGTTCCTGATTCTCTTTAATTAATCATAGTTCTGCCCACTTCTAACCATTAATTTTTCCCATACAACTGTGATTTAATGATCAAGAGATTTTTATTCGTTAATTTGGATTAGTTAAGTATAGATTGATTTAAGTAGTGTCCAAGAAATTTTTGTACTATATGTTCAAATTTGTCTTCCTTTTTCTCCATAGTCAGGTGTTTGCAAATCAAATTTTGAATATTTCAAGATTAATTTTTTTTTTAATATGATTAAAAAACACTCTTCAACGCACCACTTGACCTCGGATATTCATATTCTAAAAATGATTTTTGTACCATGTGTGATTTTTTTTTTTTTTTTTGCACTTTATTTTTGAATGCATCGTTTTTTATTGGCTTTGGAAGTTTGGATCGAAAATATGATGTTTATAATTTTTAATCGTATGGTGTAGGCTTAAGTAAATATTTTATAGCTATGCTTTCTTATACCGTAATAAGAGTTCCGTTGTCGTCCAGCGGTTAGGATATCTGGCTTTCACCCAGGAGACCCGGGTTCGATTCCCGGCAACGGAATTTTTTAATTTTTGAATGTAGTAAAAACCATTAAAAAATTTAAATTTAGATGATGCATAAAAATTAAATCTAATTAAACACTTTTAGTCAGATTCGCAATGCAGCCCACAGCCTTTGGGCCAGCAGACTCAATATTACAACAAAAACAATCTCTCAGGCCCATATTGGCAATACTGTTACGGGAAGTAGACTGTAATCAGAACATCGGCCTCCCTCCTTCCCTCCTCTCATTCTCATATCTCCTACAAATGATGATGATGATACGACGATTACCTTCAACAACGATTTCTCTAACGCCATCATTATCATGTCGTTTTACTTCTCCCAAATTCTTACGTGACCAAATTATTTCCTCAAAATCCCCTCCCTGTTACCCTAGAATTTCCCTCCTCACTACTTTCTGCTCCACCACTCAAATTCCTGATCCAATCCCTGAACAAAATTCTACAAAACGCGTAAGATAACTCCTTCACTTCATTTTCAACTTCTTTTACGACATCGTTTTTAATAAATTCTGTAATCGCAGGGTCCATTGAAACCTGGATTGTATTTAGTTGGAACCCCTATTGGAAATCTTGAAGATATTACCTTGAGGTGGTTCCTGAACTTGACTAGCTTTTTTATTTTTATTTTTAATATAATTTTATGATATCCCACTGCTTCGGACCGGGTCCGCAGTCGGGCCGTTTTTTTTAGAGAATAAAATTAAATTTTAGTTAATATTTAAAATTTTTTAACAATGCAGGGCTCTTCGTGTATTAAAATCTGCTAATGTGATACTTTCAGAAGACACACGGCATTCTGGGAAGTTACTTCAGCATTATAATATCAAAACTCCACAGGTGAATTTTTGGTTTTCTGCATTGCTGTTTTGAATTTTTTTTTTTTTTTTTTTTGAGTTGTTGTTAATTGTGTGGTTTAGATTTGCAGCTGAGTTATCATAAATTTAATGAGTCTCAAAGAGAGCAAAGGGTGTTAAGGAGGTTGAAAGAGGGTGAGGTTGTGGTGCTGATTAGTGATGCAGGGACACCAGGAATTAGTGATCCTGGTGCAGAATTGGTAAGCATTTAAAAAAAAAATTGAGATAAAATTGCTTCTCTTAGGTAAAAGAATCTGTGTTTGCAGCTAATGATAACTGTGAAATTGTGGTGTTGTGCATGTTTAGTTGATTGTGTGGATTGTAATGGATACTTGTTTGGAATGTCATTGTAGGCGAAGTTGTGCGTGGAAGAAAATATTCCGGTTATTCCAATTCCAGGGCCTTGTGCTGTGGTTGCTGCGCTTTCTACTTCAGGCTTGGCTACTGATGAGTTTACATTTGGTAATTTTGTTGTAAATTTGATGCTCGTGTTGTGTGTTGATATAATTTTCTGGTGTTCTGCTAGCAACAAAGGATCATTGGAAACTAATTATGTAAAGTATTGCTTTAGTTGGTTTTCTTCCTAAGCATGGTCCATCCAGGAGAGAGAGACTGATGGCTTCTGCAAATGAACCAAGAACACAAATATTCTATGTTTCTCCACACAAGTTTTCTCAGTTTCTCGAAGAATCTTCATCACTTTTTGGTGACTCGAGGTTTACATGGCTGTCCTTCTATTACATTTTTACTGATTTTACACATCTTTGTGTGCTATACAATTCACAATTTCTCAATCTTGTATGGATATGCAAACTCTTACAAGTTATCAGGCAACACTAAAAAAATTGTATTGGTTGTATGTTGGTGGCTAGTCCAGTTAGATGCACATATTTCAGAAGATGTGAACTGAAATGGGGGTGACGGAACTTATCTATATTCTGACCTTCATGGATCAAATTAGTTCCATTTATTTGTTGGATAGATAAAGATATAGTTATCAAAAACAATCAATGGAAGATGTGAACTGAAATGGCAGATTACAATTTACCCGAATAAAAGTATATGAAATCTGACAAGAACTGGAAAAAGACCAAGTAGATTCTTCTATACTGTTTAGATTGAATTTTTGACACATACAAGTCAATTTCGAGTAACCCAGCTATAGTGAGTATCAAAAGAGTCCTGGTTTGGTAAGATAAATGATTCATTATGTTGGTTGTGACGGTTCATTTAATTGCATTTCAGGCAATGTGTCATGGCTCGAGAAATGACAAAAATACACGAAGAGGTAGGCTTTTGTTCATCACTTTTTACGCAGTTTATTCAGCTCGTAGTGTTTTAAGAATTTGGATATTGATGCTGCTTGTGGAAGTTTGAACTAAGTTGCATAATTTTACCCAGTTGTCATGAATAGTTCATGCTTGGCCCTCGTAAGATGATAATGCTCAATCAATTAGTTACCAGTTAACACCAATTTGTGTCATCCTTGTTCACTGATTAAGAGTGTGCCTAATCAGTTTTGGCGGGGCACTCTAGGGGAGGCAAAAGAACGTTTTTTGAATCAACAACCTAAGGGGGAGATGACACTGCTAATTGAAGGCAGGACAAATTGTTCAGTTGAAACTCCGTCAGAATTTCAGCTTGAGCATGAATTGGGAGAATTGATCTCCCATGGGCATACTCTATCTACGGTAATGACCTATTTAATCAGAGATCATTAAGTTTCTTCATGTGATATATCATTGTTGCATAAATTCATTTCCCACACGAATGCTTCTGAAGTTGACATTGTGGAATCCAGTTAGTTTTGATGTTTTAAAACTTGATGCACTTTTGAAGTTGCTATAATCAATCATGTGGTCCCTTGGTATGACCACCTCTTCTTCTGTAATTACCATTTAATTGATTATTAAGTACTCTTGATGTATTGTTACCTTGCTCACATAAATAAACATGTGGGTCCCATAGTTTTGTGAGGGAGGCAGAATTAATGTCTCTTATCATTTCCCCTTGCGTTGTTGCGCTGCAACTGTGGTAATGATTTGCTTTGATGTGCATATAGGCAGTCAAATTGGTGGCCGAAGGAACATCAGTGAAGAGGAAAACAATATATTCGTTGGCATTGAAGAAATTTGGGAAGCAACTTGAAGCGGATGATAATTCAAATTAGTTCATGTCACTTGCATTGAAGAAATTTTGCCATCACCTTATTCACTTCTTGAGTAGGGATGCCAGTTTATATCCACTTCTGCATTCTCCCCCATGCTTCGGAAGTCAGCAAGTGTACAATTGTTGGAGCAAAGCGAAGACAATGTTTTTACCCTCAAAGAAGTTGAGAGAAGGCAAAGTTAGCAGTCCAGAGGTTATTGCAGGCATGCTATTAAGGTCCAGGAGCAAGACTCTTCGCAGCCAAGACGGACGAGGGAGTAGTGGACAGGAACCTAAACACGAAAGTACTCTACATTGGCCAGCTTTCGAAGGAGATTCCTTTTACATCGGTTTCTTTGTCCACCCTCAAGGCCTGTTTTGTATAATGGAATTGCTTTCTTTGTTTGCTGGCTTTTGCTTAGTGGCAGATAGTGCGCATTGTATGGGCTCACCACCAGCTTGATTTTTCATAAACTGCTTGTTGAATAAAACTTGACCAAGATATTGATTACCCAATTGAATGACTCTGATATTGTGGGATAGCCCCCCAGTATGAAGGGCTAGGTTGAAAAAAACATTGGTTTTTCTTCCAATTTTTCGTCTCCCCAAAGAGAGAAATGCACAAGTCTTATTTTCTCCTCCCATTCACTCGATTTGAGTTGTTCTGCATATGGGCCCTTCAATAGTTTTGTTTCTCTCCTCTCTCGTTTGTTGTAAATCAGCGAGTCATAGATATCGACGAAACAAAGAAGATTGGGAGAAGTCTAAACAGTGAAGGGATGCGTTTCACTTATTTCTATAGACGACAAAATGATAGAGAACCATTGTCCGTTACAAGATTGTGAAGAACCAAGTAGCCATTACTAGGTCAATATGGTAACAGGGAACCAATGAAGTGGGCTAGATGGAACTGGAACCAAAAAGGGGGATCGAGGTCAATGGCTTTGCTAAATAGCATCGCATGTGCTGCACATGACCCCTGGACCCTAACTTTATTAGCTCAAATCTCCACCCTCAGATTTTCATTGCCTTTGAAAATCAAATCGTTCCACACCACCATTGTAAAAAACCCTATCTTCAAAAACCCACAATATTTTTCTTTTCTTGCTATAACTTGCTAAATAAAATCCAGACTACTAATACTGCTTGAACAAAACTGTATGTACAGGATTATTAATTTCTAGAGGTTAGTATAATATGTTGTATAGCATAAGTAGACAATATTGTATCATCATCGCCATGAAGACACCGTAGTAGCAGCAGAAGTGAATGAGGGATTGAATATACGTTGGCCAGTTGCTAAAATACGCCGGGGATCAAATTCCATTTTCCTCTGATTGAATTGGTCCCAATTATCTCCAAAGTGGTCCATCCATTCCTCTTGTGTAGTGTAGTGAGGTAAATACTGTTTCACCTTGATCCCTGCATCATCGCAGAATCTGAGGATCTTACGGTTCTGCTGAGTCAAGTACTCCAAGGACTGAGTCTCTTCGCCATCATCCAATGCTGATCTTAACAATGCAACTAGATAAAACACATCCTCATCTGGTGTCACAACTGAGTTCCTTTGGTCCCACCTACACAACATTAATAAAAACCCAACACTAACGTTAGTTGAGATCATCAGCATTTCGCAAATAAGAACTAATCAAGACAGGACAGGACATCGAAGTTGGATCTTTCTCGAGTTCACTCTTCTTGTAATGCAATGCAATGCAGATTTAGTTGGGATTCGATGGTTTTGAACGAAACAATGGGGGACCCAATTAAGGCTAGGTTTTCGGAACTCAATTGGACAAGAAAAACCCAACACCCTTCACAGTTTCATGCCGATCAATCATGTCCGGTGTTGTTCGATTCCATCTGTGCTCGTTGAAGGCATGGTGAGGCTCTGGAAGTTGACAGGATACCATCTTCTCATGCAGGACCCATAAAGAAGATCTTCTGACAAGAGAATCTGCCTCTTGGACGATCACGACCGTCAATTGGTTAGGTTCCAGTCAACAAAGGAGAAAACGGTTTGTCCATCCTAGCTGGCTCTTTAATACAAAATATTCATCTGTTGTGCTGGCTCTTTTGCATGTGGGCCACGTGTTTCGCTAGACCTACATGCCACGTTTATCAAATATGATTCACCAGGACCACCATGTATAGTCATGGGTCTACCTGATATTTTACCCTGTCTCTATCTTTCCTCTTCGTCTTTTCATTATCATCGTGTTTTTCAAGTCCTTAGAACTCGTCCGATTGTAATTAACTAACAACCGATTATTGATACAAGAAAGTATTATTGCTAAAAGTAATGGTAATGCTAATGGTAGTAGCCTCGTATTATTGAAGGTTGATAGCTACCCCTAACTTGAAGAGGTAATCTCTAGTTTGGCTCTAGCTAGCTACCATTATTAATTTGTTTTGGGCTCTAGATATTATTATTAGCAGCCAATAAGGTTCAAATTAATCATGCTTGCTTGCCTTTTACATAATTTTTTTTTAAAAGTAAATAATTGTATTTTGCTTACGTGTACGGTTCGATGACAACAACAATAGGAGACTTGATGAGAGAGATATGTCGTAATGAGAGCTATACATTACTAGTTCCATCCAGTTGCATGCATGCAGTGCTAGTGGAAAAGATGAAGAAGTTAAAAAGGATGAGATGCATGCATCTTGCATGTTACATAGGAGTACGAAACAATTACTTACTTGTTTTTGTTCATTGGGTAAATAAGAATGGGCCCACTTGTCTTGTTATGTCCTAAAATGCCCTTGAAGACACCCTTATCAAAGTCGGCAATTCTTGATTTCGGAACGAATAGGTTGAGCCAAGGGTGAGGCACCTCCCACAGACCCTTGGCTCTTAGCTTCAACTCGGCCTTGTGGACACGATCCAAAAAATCAATATAAGGCAGATCTGTGGTGAAGACGGATGATGGTATAAAATTCAGTTTTTTCATCAAAGCCTCTACTTCCTGCAATAATGGAGCCAGCTAACAATAGTTAATTACTATAATTTTTTGGTGTCATTAATTATAAACACATTACAAAAGTATAATCAAAGTACACACACAGCAACCCAAAAAAAAGAAGAAGAAAAAAGCTGCCGCTACTTGACATAGTTGCTTTTGGAAAGATAAGTTTGATTCCAATCAATTAATAATTAATCAACTCTCGAAAGGAGAGATTAATTAGGAGAGAATAATTTGGTGGGTGGCCGGCTTATAGATTTAGTAATATTTAATGAAGTGAAAAAATAGTAAAGTAGTGTCCAATCTTAGGATCAGATGGGACGATAGATCTCCCATGTTTTCTTGTATATGTTGTATAGCATTTTTATAGTAGCTAGCCAGTACGTATAAAAATATTTACTCAGCAATCACAATCATATAATCTAGGAACAGTGGGGCAAACCCTTATAACAGCAATTATACAAAAGAATGACAGCGATGACACACAGTAGAAGGTTCTAACTTATTATAAGAGGAAAAGATTAAATAGTTTGATTAGTGTTAAGAAATTTAATTGGATTGGCATGCATTTTGAGCCCACTTTCAAGGAGGGCAGACTTTAATTAACATATAGTTTTCATGTTTTATATGGTAGTTAAAAGTCTTGTAACAGCAAGGTTAGGCACCAAAAAATTGAAGGTGTGCGTCATGGTCCGGAATAGAGGAAAAAGGGGAAGAAAATGAATCAAATGTATGGATGGATATTGGCTAATTGCTCTAAAGTACGGCTCCCAAGTCGCAAGGTATTTGCCGACATACATAATTAATCATTAGTAAAAACATAGATAATAGGATTGTCAACTACCAAACTTTGGAGAAAAACATTATAAGTATTATAATAATAATGATTAATTATTCACATTTTCATTCTCTTAATTATAGTACTATGGACATCAATAGTTTAGTCTTTCTGCCACTTCAAACGAGCTCGGGTGTTCAGGTGGGCAGTAGCAAGGCGATCCTATAATTAATAAGTTCTTGTTAATAACATGTTGTAGATTTTCTTTTTATCAAAACAAATATATGAATATTTTCTATGGACGATTAAGCGGAGTTTACCTGATCAATGGTATCGCTAGTGGATTCATCGTAATTTTTGGTGATTTCTAAGCAGTAGAGGACACCCCCATCAGCCCCAATTGAGCTAATCTTAACAGGATTACGAGGGGAAAAGAAAGAGGATCTCCAATTGTTAATGAGGCCTTCATCAACAATAACAAACCCCTCGACATAATCGAATTTTAGGCTAGAAGAGTTTCTGTGCAAGGAAATGAGGTTTTCCTGGTCCCTGGTAAAAGTCGCAAAGTTGGAGTACAGTACTCTGATCCACCTCACCTACAATAATAAAACAAACAGAACATGAAAAGAAAGAAAAAGACCATGTTAGCGGCAAAAGCAAGACGTCAACAACATTGCCAGCTTAGAACAGCCGTTTGAATGAGTTAAAAAGCATGCATGGACCCAACTTAACTCATTAATTGGTCATGAATAATGATACTTGCTAGCTCTTTCCGTTTTTTTTCTTTTCCTTAACTAATACTAGGAAATTTATGTAAAGTTATGTGCCCCACCATGGAACGAGCCAAAATCTGTTACCATCGAGAGAAAAATAATATTGTTCAGATATAGAGAGAGAGAGAGAGAGAGAGAGGTATATACCCTTTGAGGAGCTAGTTCAAGTGCAATTCTAGCCCTAGTGATAATTCCAAATTGCCCTAGACCACCAAGAACAGCATGGAACAGCTCCGAATTGTTTTCTTCCGAGCATGTCAACAGCTCACCTTTGCCTGATATCCAGTAGTTGAATGTTAATCACATCAACATAAAACCGATTTCGAAAGATACATAGGCCAAGCAGCCAAAAAGTAAAAACAGATAATTCAACATACATACAAGTCCTCTTAACCAAAAACAAAAAAAGGAATTATATACACTTAAAAATAATTAAAAAAAATTAAACTGTCATATCACTCAATGTCAAGAATTTTTTTTAATTGAACTTAAAAGCAAAACAACTTAAAACAAACATCCACATAAGAATAAGAAAATATCATGTCCAGATAACTGGTAGTAAAAGAAACCTACAAAAAACAAACCACCCAAACAAAACCTACGCAGACGAACAATTGAAACAATGTCAATGAAAAGAACATCACATGTTAAAATATAAAAGGAAAAACCCCGAATAAATTAATTACCCAAAAAAAAGGAAAAAAGAAAAACCCAGCCATGCAAGAAAGTGATGAATATATATTATAAGCAGTACCAACCTGTGACAACGTCAAGCTCATAAACATTGCTGATTTGAGGTCCATGATTAAACGCTTGCCCACTAATTCCACCATTTGATAAGGTACCGCCTACTGAAAGATACAAATAATCCGTCCATGATTTTGGTGCTAGCCCATGCTCTAATGTACTCCTTAACACATCTACCCACAGCTCCCCTCCCCACACGTCTACGTGCATCTCCTTCACGGCTACTTGTGGCCTACCCAGCTTCCCCAAACCAACATGACTCCCTCTCGAGCCCCCACTCATTTCTATCACAACCCCATTACTTGTCTGCGCCTGACCGTTTATGGAATGCCCATGACCCCTAGCCGAGACTGTGAAACCCGGAGTAGAGAGGTAAGCCGCTCGGACAAGCTGAGCTATGTCATCAGCGGAACCCGGGTGCAAGACTGCCATCGGCTCGACCCGGCTTAGCAAGCCGAAATCAAGCGAAGCCGTCTCGACATCAGATGGGTCAACGCTGAGTTGACCTTCAACCCCCAGACGGAGAAGCTCCGATGGGTCAACAGTTAACCCCACAGTCACAATCAAACGACAGATTGCAAATGTTAAAAGAAGTTTGGTGGCCATTTTAAGGATTCCTTGTCGCAATACACGAGTAATAATCTTTAACAAAGGAAAATTCAAGAAAGTGGAGCAGATAGAAGAAGGCTCCAGTAGCGGTGGCGGTGGCTGTGCTGGTGGTGGCGGTGGGTATTTATATGGTGGCAGGTAAAGAAAGAGGACAAATTCTGGTAACAGTGTTGATGATGGTGGGGACTACCGTGGGGCTAACGTAAGCTGGATTACGCTTTAAAGATATTCTACGCAAAACATGCAAATTCAGATTCCCTTCTAATCTTTACTCTGCTCTTTTTGCACGTTGCACATAGTATTACACATGTACCAGAAGAAGCTAATAATATAAGTGAATTAAACGAGGAAATCAAAAAGAAAATCAACGACAGATATATCTGCAAGCAGAAGATACTATTTTAATTTCTTTTGTGTGTTAGGGTAACAGAGAGTGAGAGAGAGAAGTCTGAGTCTGACTAATGTGTCTCTGGGTCGTTTAGGTGTTGTGTCTAGGATCAAAGGCACAGGTTCTCAATTTATAGTACAAAATGGGGAGGGGGAGATGGAAGGGACACGTGGACGTTCACGTGCGAGAGGTGAGGAGACACGTGTGGAGGAAGAGAGCGAGGCAGGATGTGGGGCCAGGTTTTGAATAAGGGGCCCTGATATGGATACGGAAGATCTATGTAGGGACGAGAGCAAGGGATGGTTCACGTGGTGGCAGAGACCGGACGATGTTATGATATGCAAGCCAATACAAAAGATTCTCTCAACGTATATCTTTTCTCATATCTAGAGGCAGCAACAAATTACTATAAACATATTTTTCGAACTAAAATTTCATAGAGTCTATGAGAAAAATATTTTTTGTAATTTACGTATTTGTATAGCAATATTTGAAAGCAGCATGATCAATATATACATTAGTGTAAAATTTGATAGAAAAAATTTAATTTGAAGTGAAAATTGGACCAAGAAATATTACGTTAATTGGCTTATATACTAATTAGCTATCAATAACAAAAACATGTGTTTAAAATGGTCATGATCATCTATTAGGTTTCGGGCACGCAGTCAGTATCGAATTACTTAAAAACCACAGCATTAAAAAAATATTCCATTGCAACATGCAAGCCAAATTGCCATGAGGCTGTAATACAGGCTCTAGTTTGCCGTATATGGACATGATATAAACAACAAGTGGATTTGGTAGCAAATTGATATTACATGAAGTTATATGGCAAGAAGTAACCAAGAATATTACCACGATGGTCCCGGTTAGGGTATAATTATTAATACAATACTGATTTAAGTATAATAAATTAATAAAAAGACCAATAAATTTTTAGTCTAGTAAAAAATGAGTTGGTCTCTTAACAAATTTTCTCGTCAATATATGGAATTCGAATTCTAAAATTACATTTGTTAAAAGGAATTAAACTTTATTGCTCTTGTTTCAAACATGATTAATTTTATCTCCATTATGAAATATAAATACCTAGAAAAAAATTAATAAAAGGAAATATAATGCCAAAATCTCATGAATTTTGGTATAATTGTTTTATAATAAACTTAATTTAATCATAAGATTTTCTAAGGTTTTTATTAGTTGCATTTACTATGACAAATGGTTTGTTAGGTAATCCTTGATTATTTTAAGATCTTAGTTTTCTTTGTTTTGTTTTCATATTAAGTAGAATTAGAGTTGCAATATGTTTATGTTTTTTTTTATGGTTTGGAGGTGTAAAAAAACCTTGTATCCTCACGCTACATGTTGCGTGAAAATGTAAAGTCCCCAACAAAGGCATTTCCTTAAACTAGTCAAGCTCATTGAATAATGTTTCAGCCGTCAATTTTGAACTCCCAAGGAATCGCAGCACAAAAAACTATTCCATCACAACATGCAAACCGAATTGCAAGGTAGTTTGCCATTTATGGATATAAGATATAAAGAACAACTGGATTTGGTGGTTAATTGATATTATATGAATTTATATTAATAAAAAATATTGCTACTACAAAACCAGACGTTCCCAATTTGTCCAAATGGATGTTTCGTAACAAAAACATACTCTCCTAATTTGGATTATTTTGAATAAACCTTTGCAACAAGGGAAATGAATAATACTCAATCTTCAGTGACACGTTCCAAAGCTGACCTCCTTGACCATTGACCCTGTCTATTCAATATTCTGTCTTGCATTTCGCATAGCTCACCGTTTCTTTCTCTTGTAATATGCTTGAATCAAATTTCACCTTTTTGGGCTGGAAGGAAAAATATTTGAACCCAAATCAATTAAAAGTATTTTTGTGGCGATTAATTAAGATTTCCTTTCATCATGACGGGTAAACATTGCCATTGTCCTCATCACTAGAATTTTTGGGCCAAAATCAAATCATGAACTTATTATCTACAATGATTCCTTCATGATTATGAAAAATAGAGTGAGAAGATTTATACTAACTAAACCTATTGTATATTAATAATGAAAACAAAGAAAAAGTGAATAATGAAAATTTTCATTTTAAATTCTTATCTTTAAATAAAAGAATACTTATGTATGGTAATTCGAAAACAATGTACGGAAAGGTTATATTAATTACAAGTGCACCTTAGCCACCCTCATACACAGTAGTCTACTAGACTCCGTCGATGTACAGGGGTTGGGTCTCCATCAATGGCATTTGACAAATTTGAATGATGTGAAGCAGATTCCTATTGCAAATGTGAAACTGGCTTTAACGAACCAAATTTTCCAGACAGCGGATAATGGGCTTGAGCGTGACGTTTTGGCATGCAATATTACAATGACTGGACAGACTGTATCATCTAACAAGAAACATGTGGGGTAAAACCTAGGACGAGACCAGAGGTTGATTGGCCTGGTTGGAGATTGACTCAGTCGATGTAAACACATTTACTTCCAGGAAACAGACCCCCAATTTTCTTTTTGTCACGTATATATATATATATATATATATATACATGCATTTACTCGGTTGGTGTGAATGGTTGATTTTCCTGTGCTATGTGTTATTTCTTGTGTGCTTCTTAATTGGAATTGGGTCCGAGTCTTTGGTCATTGTCTAATCCATGTCTTGCACGCGGAAAATGTTTCCAACTGATCACATTTCATTGTTTTTTGTTCGGTAACATGACAAAAATAATTAAACTTTTATCTACCATTTTCGCATCCTCTAGGCATCCAACGCAGACAAATCAAATCCCAGTTGCATATAATAAATGGTGTTTTCTTTTTTTAACTAAACAGATCATGTTACAAAGGACTGGTTTCATAGATTGGGAAACAACATGAGTCCTGTCCATCAGGAATCATGTCTCATATCTTGCATCGAGCATATCGATCAATTGCTTAGACGTTTACAATAAAACCGAGATTTACAAGCAGTGCATGTTCCAGGATATTTACAAAAAAATTACAAGGCTTGCAACCAGATCAAATATTTAAATCTTGGCAGTCCGAGCTAGAAGACAGATATTCTTTTAAAGTTCTCTTAGATTATTATTCCCATTTTTTCTGGAATTTTGACTGGTTTAATTTGCTGATATATTTTTTACTACACACAAGGGAAAGAAAATTTTCTTTTCTTTTTTCATTTTTTGAATTAATAAAGGAGAAATTAATTCAACTAGTTGTCGCTATACAAGTCCGCAACAGTACTCTCCCCTGCGTATCTTCAAAAAGATCCAATCTTTTTTGAAGGATGAGAAGAGTTTCGTCAAGTCTTTGTTTTTCTGTCAAGTGGGCTGCAGTCTCAATTCAACTTTTGTAGCCACTCTTTTCCTTAAAAGGGGTAAGTACTGTGGTCATCCACACCTATCCATGTTGCCCTGCAGCCTCTCTTCCAGTTTGCACAGAAGAAACTGAATTTTATTTTAATTTTTTAAAAAATGGCTAGCTAGATTGCTTTAATTATATCGATGGTAAATCATCTTTCTTTAATCCATCAAAATAGAAGAATTTAATATTGCAGCCTCAAATCTATTGGCTACAACTGCCAAAGTTGACGGCGACACTTCTTGTTTTAAATACGACAATTTGTATGCTTTAATTTGAACTCGTATTTTTTCATATAAAAACAGATTACAGAATTCTTTAAAAGATCGGCTTCTTATATTAAGTATTAATGATACAATCAATCTAGTAATTTATGACTATTTATGTATTAAATAAGTTTATGGAGCTCGGAGGACAAGATTGCAAGTATTGACATCAAAATCAATGTACATTAATTACATTCTTTTTCGGCCACAGGGAATATAAGATTTTTCTAATCGTGAGATAATCATCTGGACCCTGGAAATCAAAAACCATGCATGTTATTTAGCTCTGTTTGTATTTAATTAAGAAGAGGCAAGTTTGAGGTGGTTGCAATGTCGTAGCCACCATGGTATAGATTTCTAATGGTTTAATGATAAATTTTGTTTCTATTCTATTGCGATTGGATAATTTTAAATATTTAGTATCATATTATATAATTTAAATCTCAAACTATTGGTTTTTAAACAAAATTAATTCAAATCGTCATTATATGTAACAATCAACTAGGTGGATTATTATTTAAAATTCCAAAACGATATCATTTTAATATTTTACTATTTAAAAAATAATAATTTAAAAATATTTTTAGCCATTTTAATCTTGAATTTTTTAAAACTTTTTTTTCCTTATAAATTTTTTATATATTATATAAAAAACATTTAATAAATATTTTTAACCCCTTAATTTTGAATTTTTTTTAAAAAAATTTATAAGATATTATAAAAATTTTAAATTTTTTTATATAATTTATAATTTATAAAATTATGTGGGTCAATCCTTAATTATACTCATTTTAATTTATAAAATATTATACTTTGCATTATAAATATTTTATAAAAAAATGCTATAAAAAATATAATTAAAAATATACAATTTTAGGCCTTTTAAAAAATATTTTATAAATTAATATGAGCATAATTAAAGGTTGACCCCCTAATTTTATAAATTATA